GTCTTGAGTGGTTTTGTGAAAGTGGAACCACATATACTACATTTGTCTTTGCCGACAGACACACACTTACACACACACGCACACACACACACACACACAGACAATCCCATTAGTAATTATCAAGGGTTTAAAATGTATAAACTAAACCATCAATAATATCTGAGACAGGTGCATTGACAAAAAGTCCAGTAAGATGTGATATTCTATCGCTGCCCAAACCCAGTTTTCTGTTCACTTTTCCATTCTTTTCTTTGGCATCCACCACATTTCAGCTGCTTTGGAAAAACAAGCCAAGAGGAGGCAGGAGGCCAGGGCCGGAGTGTGGAGGAGCAGCCAGAGCACGACAGGGTTAATCAGAGAGGAGGCGGCCAACACCAGGGCCTGGCTCTTCTGTGGCTCCTCTCTGACTCCTCTCTGTCTCCTCTCTGACTCCTCTCTGTCTCCTCTCTGTCTCCTCTCTGACTCCTCTCTGGCTCCTCTCTGGCTCCTCTCTGGCTCCTCTCTGTCTCCTCTCTGTCTCCTCTCTGTCTCCTCTCTGTCTCCTCACTGGCTCCTCTCTGACTCCTCTCTGTCTCCTCTCTGTCTCCTCTCTGTCTCCACTCTGTCTCCTCTCTGACTCCTCTCTGGCTCCTCTCTGGCTCCTCACTGGCTCCTCTCTGACTCCTCTCTGTCTCCTCTCTGTCTCCTCTCTGTCTCCTCTCTGACTCCTCTCTGGCTCCTCTCTGGCTCCTCTCTGTCTCCTCTCTGTCTCCTCACTGGCTCCTCTCTGACTCCTCTCTGTCTCCTCTCTGTCTCCTCTCTGTCTCCTCTCTGTCTCCTCTCTGGCTCCTCTCTGTATCCTCTCTGTCCCCTCTCTGTCTCCTCTCTGGTCTCTCTCTGGTCTCTCTCTGGTCTCTCTCTGGTCTCTCTCTGGTCTCTCTCTGGTCTCTCTCTGGTCTCTCTCTGGTCTCTCTCTGGTCTCCTCTCTGGTCTCTCTCTGGTCTCTCTCTCTGGTCTCTCTCTGGTCTCTCTCTGGTCTCTCTCTGGTCTCTCTCTGGTCTCTCTCTGGTCTCTCTCTGGTCTCTCTCTGGTCTCTCTCTCTGGTCTCTCTCTGGTCTCTCTCTGGTCTCTCTCTGGTCTCTCTCTGGTCTCTCTCTGGTCTCTCTCTGGTCTCTCTCTGGTCTCTCTCTGGTCTCTCTCTCTGGTCTCTCTCTGGTCTCTCTCTCTGGTCTCTCTCTGGTCTCTCTCTGGTCTCTCTCTGGTCTCTCTCTCTGGTCTCTCTCTGGCTCTCTCTCTGGTCTCTCTCTGGTCTCTCTCTGGTCTCTCTCTGGTCTCTCTCTGGTCTCTCTCTGGTCTCCTCTCTGTCTCTCTCTCTGGTCTCTCTCTGGTCTCTCTCTGGTCTCTCTCTGGTCTCTCTCTGGTCTCTCTCTCTGGTCTCTCTCTGGTCTCTCTCTGGTCTCTCTCTCTGGTCTCTCTCTGGTCTCTCTCTGGTCTCTCTCTGGTCTCTCTCTGGTCTCTCTCTCTGGTCTCTCTCTGGTCTCTCTCTGGTCTCTCTCTGGTCTCTCTCTGGTCTCTCTCTGGTCTCTCTCTGGTCTCTCTCTCTGGTCTCTCTCTGGTCTCTCTCTGGTCTCTCTCTGGTCTCTCTCTGGTCTCTCTCTCTGGTCTCTCTCTGGTCTCTCTCTCTGGTCTCTCTCTGGTCTCTCTCTGGTCTCCTCTCTGGTCTCTCTCTGGTCTCTCTCTGGTCTCTCTCTGGTCTCTCTCTGGTCTCCTCTCTGGTCTCTCTCTGGTCTCTCTCTGGTCTCTCTCTGGTCTCTCTCTGGTCTCTCTCTGTCTCTCTCTGGTCTCTCTCTCTGGTCTCTCTCTGGTCTCCTCTCTGGTCTCTCTCTGGTCTCCTCTCTGGTCTCCTCTCTGGTCTCTCTCTGGTCTCTCTCTGGTCTCTCTCTGGTCTCTCTCTGGTCTCCTCTCTGGTCTCTCTCTGGTCTCTCTCTGGTCTCTCTCTGGTCTCTCTCTCTGGTCTCTCTCTGGTCTCCTCTCTGGTCTCTCTCTGGTCTCTCTCTGGTCTCTCTCTGGTCTCTCTCTGGTCTCTCTCTGGTCTCTCTCTCTGGTCTCTCTCTGGTCTCTCTCTCTGGTCTCTCTCTGGTCTCTCTCTGGTCTCTCTCTGGTCTCTCTCTCTGTTCTCTCTCTGGTCTCTCTCTTGTATCTTCTTCTTGTCTCCTCTCTGTTCTCTCACTGGGCTCTCTCTGGTCCTCCTCTCTGGTATCCTCTCTGTCACTCTCTCTGGTCTACTACACTGGGCTCTCTCTCTGTCTCCTCTCTGTCTCCTCTCTGTATCCTCTCTGTCTCCTCACTGTCTCCTCTCTGGCTCCTTCTCTGATTCCTCTCTTGTCTCCCCTCTGGCTCCTCTCTGGCTCATCTCGGTTTCCTCTCTGTCTCCCGTCATGTCTCCTCTCTGCGCTCCTCTCTGATTCCTCTATGTCTCCCCTCTGGCTCCTCTCTGTCTCCTCTCTGATTCCTCTCTGTCTCCCCCTCTGGCTCCTCTCTGGCTCCTAAATTGTCTTTGTCCCATTGGAGAATCTGGTAGTTTTTTTACTGCTCAAATTAAGATAAAAAACACAAGATTCAAGCCGTTATTACCTCATAAAAGTTTTATCCATTTTTTGCAGTTGTACTTAATGACTGTGACGACAGCCTTTGAAAAAATAATGCGTATTCTCCGTGTTCCTGTCTAATCTGTGGAGGATGTGAACCAGGCCGGAGCAGCGGATCATAACACCAGTGGCATTCCTATCCTCTGTCGTCGTCAGACGATTTAAGTTTAGGCAACAGTGTGAGCTCACCTTCAAAGCGCCGCGCTGCAGGTGTGTTGTGATGACGGGCCCATGATAACCAGGGCATCCGGGCATCTGACCCGCTCCACTGAAACACACTCAGGCGTTTGAAGTGCCTGGATCGCAGCCGTCCGATCGTAACGAGGGCCGAGGTTCTCACGGAAAGACTGTGCTCAAAGTCATGACACACTTTGGAGAGTTAGCGTGACTCGTGCTGTTGACTCAGATTCAGTTTGTTTTGCCCTTTGCAGTAACACCACGTTGGAATAACACAAGACACATTTTGCCAAATTTGAAAAATCTCTGGCTTTTTGCACTGAAGCCAAAACCAAACTTAATCTTATATCCATGTGTATATGTGCTGTGCTCCTTGTGTGCTCTTAGTCACTGTCTGAGTGCGCTGCAACACTGAAATTTCCTCACTGTAGGACAAATAAAGGCTATATCTGATTTATAAGTACTGCGTCTCCAGTGCAAGTTAAAGGACACATGTGGACAGAGTGTACACGTTAACTGTCAAACCGATTAATTACTGACTTCATTGGAATTCTGAACAACTTATGACTCTATCTGTGAGCGAGTTTATATTTCTGTTTTTTAGTCTAAACTCCTCCATCTTTTGAGAACACCGCCGCTTCTCTCCTCACCCAGACATTTGTCACACTCTGAAACCCTGGCTCTCGTCCCTTAACCCCTTTTGTGTTAATTACCAAACTTTATTCCCCCCTCTCTCTGTAACGTAGGTGCTCTGCCTCCGCTCTGCTCTCATTACTGACCGGGCCTGAGCTCTTTCATTAAACCAGTGTGGAGAGATGGGAGAGACCAGGGGGAGAGACCGGGGGGAGAGACCGGGGGGACAGGCTGAGGTCATAATTGGGCTGTTCCGCTCGCCTGGCCTACAGCTCAAGGTTACGTCCAGGCCAACCCCATCTCTCCTCTCCCTCCAACCCTCCGTCTCCTCCTGGGTTTGCTTTGTCGCGGCCTGACCGGTCCGCTGGGGCAGTCACGGAGAAGTACAGAGGCTAATACTTCCTAATCTCTCCGCTCGCTAATGTCTGGCTGATATGTGGATTTCAACACGTCCTCCAGGGAAGGCCTTTGTGGTTAAGGCCATCATTATGAAGTTTCAGAGCCAATTATAAAAAAGGGAGGATTCTTAACCCGGCTCCTAAGAAGTTTCCGCTGATTGTTCTGGAGTTTTGCAAAGTGATCGGTCTGAAAAGGTGCAGATAAGGAGCATGGAGGGGATGGACTCGCTGCTTGAGGCGCACAACTTGAGAAGAACTTACTTAGCGAAACGTTTTTGCAAGACTAGAGTGAAGTCTGGAAGAGCGTGATACAAAATAAGTGAAAAATGGCTCAAATTTGGCAAAATGTGTTTTAATCTGCGCACATTCTGACTGAGCCTTAAAACTAGATTCTTCAACTGGACAAAGCAAAATCATCTTGTTTTTAAAAGATACATCAAATTTGATCATATTTTGCAGTGAAATACTTAAATAAGAGCAGATGCAGAGGTCACAGCAGAACATGTTGTATTGTTGGTAAAAAGAGACACAAATAAAGATCTCTCTCTCTCTCACTCCTCTCTCACTCCTCTCTCTCTGTCTGTCTCTCTCTCACTCCTGTCTCTCTCTCTCTCTCTCACTCCTGTCTCTCTCTCTCACTCCTGTCTCTGTCTCTCTCTCTCACTCCTGTCTCTGTCTCTCATTCCTGTCTCTGTCTCTCTCTCTCTCTCTCACTCCTGTCTCTCTCTCTCACTCCTGTCTCTGTCTCTCATTCCTGTCTCTGTCTATCTCTCTCCCTTCTGTCTCTGTCTGTCTTTCTCTCTCTCTCTTTCTGTCTCTCCTGTCTCTGTCTTTCTCTCTTTTCTCTCTCTCTCACTCCTGTCTCTGTCCGTCTCTCTCTCTCTCTCACTCCGGTCTCTGTCTTTCCCTCTCTCTCTCTCTTTCATTACAGTCTCTCTCTCTCTCTCACTACTGTCTCTCTCTCTGTCTCTCACTCCTGTCTCTCTCTCTCTCTCTCTCTCTCTTGTTTTCCGTGAGCTTGTACCTTCAGAGCCCAGACATCAAGTGTAAAACCACCTTCTGCCTGTTGTTGATGGAGTGTCCTGTGAGATGCAGAACATGTTTTTATGGAGTCCGTGCAGTAACGAGTCTATCGTCTCTGATTAACTCGGTGTTTGATCCAGATATGCACAGGTCACTCTCCTGACCCGGATCTCGGCAGGCGCTGCTCGGTTTAGGGCATGTGAACGATGTGCTTCATAAGGAATGTTCCGGATGCTCCAAGTGGAATGAGCAGATCCCTGTTTTTTCTCACTTTTTCCCCTTGCCGTGTTTGACTGGTTTCTCAGGACCCAAAAACCAGGAATGCATAAAATAATGATTTAATGAAGAAAAAAAAAAAATCTCAAAATCCAAAGAAAAGTCAGTGTCAAATCCACACCATGAGACCAACGCCTCCTTTGTGTTTGGTGTTATTCCATGTCTGCTGCTGAACTGAACTGATCTGTAGTGATTGCTATGAACAAATCCAGTGACTCCCAACTTGTAATCGAGTAATAAACCTAGCTCTGTCAGACTTACATCCTTGTTCTTTCATTACAAACACACTAATATTGTTTTTTATAAGTTTCTTCTGTTAAAAATGTCTGGTCTCTGGTCTTAAAAATGTACCTACTGTTTTCCTTTCCTTGCAGCATGTTTCATAAGCCCGTCTTGAAGCGCAATGACAGCAGTTGTAGAATAATGTCCAACTCATTCCCTCCATGTCTTCTCTCTCTCTGCGTGTGTGTGTGTGTGTGTGTATGTGTGTGTGTGTGTGTGTGTGTGTATGTGTGTGTGTGCGTGTGTGTGTGTGTCTGTGCGTGTGTGTGTATCTGCAGGCCTCCATCGCTGGCGGGGAGTCCGGCCTTCTCCAACATCTCCCTCATCCGGATCTCGCCCCAGCGGAACCCGTCGGTGGGGGCGGAGTCTCCCTTCCACCCTCCGCACCCCTACATCCACCCGTACATGGACTACATCCGCTCTCTGCACTCCAGCCCCTCCATCAACATGCTGTCCAGGGGCCTCACTCCGGCAGATGGTGAATAAAACAAACGCCCTCTCGGGACTCGCACATCTGCACATGACCGTAAAACACACTTGTAACAGCGAGACGCTCGGCCTGGTGCTTACAAATAATGGCTGGAATTGACCAGGCTGTTTGGATGGCTGGATTTGAGCTTCTCTGTGTCTGTCTCTCTCTCTCTCAGTCCTGTCTTTGTCTGTCTGTCTCTCTCTCTCACTCCTTTCTATCTGTTTCTCTCTCTGTCTCTCTCTCTCACTCCTCTCTCTTTCTCAGTCCTTTCTCTCTCTGTTTTTCTGTCTCTCTTTCTCATTCCTGACTTTGTCTGTCTGTCTCTCGCTCTTACTCCTGTCTCTCTGTCTGTCTCTCTCTCTCACTCGTATCTCTCTCTGTCTCTCTCTCTCAATCCTGTCTTTTCAATCTCTCTCTTTCTCCCTCTCTCACTCTTTCTCTCAGTCCTGTCTCTCTGTATCTCTGTCTCTCTCACACACACCTGTCTCTCTCTCCCATTCCTGTCTCTGTCTCTCACTCCTGTCTCTCTCTCTCTCTTTCATTCCTGTCTCCCTATTCTCTCTCTCTCTTTCTCTGTGTGTGTGCGTGTTTCTCTCTCTCTCTCTCTCTCTCTCTCTGTGTGTGTGTTTCTCTCTCTCTCTCTGTGTGTGTGTGTGTTTCTCTCTCTCTCTCTCGCTGTCTCTGTCTCTGTCTCTCTCTCTTTCTCTCTCTCTCTCTCTCTCTCGGGACGCGCACATCTGTACATCACCGTAAAACGCACTTGTAATAGCCATAAAACCTCCGCCTGGTCCTTAAAAATAATGGCTGGCATTGATCAGGGCGCTTCGATTGCTTGATTTGAGTTTAATTCAGGATCAGTGGAGGTCAGCACCGAGGGGCCTGATCCATCTCTATTAAACAGCCGGACCGGGCAGACGCTATCAAAGCCCGTGTGGGTCAGGAGAGCAGGACAGCGGCGCAGGGAGGCGGGTGAGGCGGGGGGAGGGCGGAGGCTAATCCTTTTGATCTGTGAGTCGTGTCCGAGACCTCAGGAGGACGCTTGAGCGAGCGGGAGGTCACGCACAGGGCCTGAGTTTACACAGACAGCATGCTGATTCAAGTTCAGGGTTAGAGAGGCCCACAGAGGCCCGCGAGGACCCAGGCCGGGAGTCACAGGCAATTATGGAGGAAGTAGAAAGTCAATGCTCTCAGATGTGTCATGTTTACAGCTTACAGCGTCAGACCGGCTGTTTTTCCATCACTGCCTCTGAACAATGGAATTCAGATTTTAAAAGTATAAAAGAAATAACCCTTGTAAACACAGGACAGGACGGTCCGGGACAGGATGGTCCGGGACAGGACGGTCCGGGACAGTTTCAGAGGACAGCCCTGGACTACAGAAGTCCACCTCTTTGTGAAATCTAATCTCATTTAAAGCTGGTGCACCTAACTTAGAAGCTACAAGAAATGTAACTATGTCATAAAATCCATGTAACCAGTTCCTAGCTCTTAAAACAATGTCTCTCTCTGTCTCTCTCACTCCTGTCTCTCTCTCTGTCTATCTCTCTCTCTCTCCCTGTTTCTCTCTCACTCCTCTCTCTCTCTCTCTCTCTCTCTCTATCTCTCTCACTCCTGTCTCTCTCTCTGTCTATCTCTCTCTCTCTCCCTGTTTCTCTCTCACTCCTCTCTCTCTCTCTCTCTCTCTCACTCTCACTTCTGTATCTCTCTCTCTCTCTCACTCCTGTATCTCTCTCTCTCTCTCTCACTCCTGTATCTCTCTCTCTCCCTGTTTCTCTCTCACTCCTCTCTCTCTCTCTCTCACTCTCACTTCTGTATCTCTCTCTCTCTCACTCCTGTATCTCTCTCTCTCTCTCACTCCTGTCTCTCTCTCTCTCTCTCACTCCTGTCTCTCTCTCTCTCTCTCACTCCTCTCTCTCTCTCTCTCTCTCTCACTCTCACTTCTGTATCTCTCTCTCTCTCACTCCTGTATCTCTCTCTCTCTCTCACTCCTGTATCTCTCTCTCTCTCTCTCTCTCACTCCTGTCTCTCTCTCTCTCTCTCACTCCTGTATCGCTCCCCGTCTCTCTTTCTCACTCCTATAGAAAATATCACAACACATTACTTTGACGTCTGACCCTATCTCAGCTAAGTCTACATTTATCATTAACAACACACACATTTCCGAAGCGTTCCCACGGTTTTCCGGGTCGAGTTTAAACGCTGTACATCCAACACACACAACGAGCCCGTCCCTCGCACTCCCATTACCACAACACAACCCGCCACGTGAAGCCCCTTTGAGTGGGCACGGCTTTGCATTGTGAATGAGCCACCTAATTACTCCTTTAATCAAGCCGCTGATGAATTAACCCATCAGCTTTGCTACTGTTAGTCTATCACCCCGCTTTGAGTGCGCCTCCAATGCCCCGCCACCATTTTTCTCCTGCTAAAAGTGCATTTGAATAATGACGAATTAATTAACAGAATCTAATGGAGATTTAGAGTGAGGGGGATTAACCAACGCCTTCTTTTTGCCTCTTTTTGTCTAACGCGGGTTTTTTGCTCAAGTTTCGATCAGTGTGGGTTTTCCCCCCTGTTTTTTTCTATTGTACTGCTTTAAGGGTGGCTCATCGCATCCCGGGGCTACACCACCGACAACCACCCCGTCATTTGTACCCGTTTGCCCCAAAGGAAGCCATCCGAACGCCAGCAAAACGCTGCAAATCTACCCCCTCCCACTTCTCCCTGAATAGGCCACAATATGGATGAATGTGCTAGCTAAGGCGGAACACAATTAAGCGACTCCCCCCTTCTACTCCTAGCATAATACCCACATCGAATTAATTTATTTTCTCTTACATTCATCTAACCAGTCGTGAATGCACAGAACAGGAATACAGGCCTGGGTTTATGCCGAAATCTCTATTTATTTCCCCACACAGCGCTCCGAAGGGCCCATATTTGCCTCCCCAACCACACTGTTAGCGCTCCTTTCTTCACATATTTGCATAAGGAAGCCCACCAGCCGCCAGATGTATATTTTTAGGCAGCGGTTCAACGACGGCTTGGACGCGGGAGAAGAGAGAAAGATGTATCAGATGTGTGCAGATCTGTGGGGTAGATTTAAGGCCTTTTGTTTGGGCTCTGAATGGAGTTTAAAGGAGCACAGTGGAGGAGCAGGTCGGACCCAGTATCTCGCAGCTGCAGAACCATCTCTGGCAGAAGAAGCAGGGATCAGCCCACGACGTCTTACCACACGCACTCACGCTCGGTTCTGCAGAGAAGAAAGCGGCGCTTGAGAATGGTGGAGGGATGATCGACAATGCCAAGATGGAAATGGAACAGCGGGAGAATTACTACGAATCAGTGATAGCGTTTGTAACTAGGTTGTTCATTTGGAGTTGGGATTTGGATGGTTTTGATTTGTGATCGTTATCGTTGGGATTGGTCGATGCCATTTCAAATAAAACTCAAACATATTTGTCTGATAACATGTGTAGAATAGTCTAAACCAAGGGATGAACCTTTTGCTTTACAATTATGCCTCGAAATTGTTATAAACAGCCACCCAAGAAGGTTCGGAGTTTGATTCCACCTCCAGGTCTTTCTGTGTGGAGTTTGCATGTTCTCCCCGTGTCTGCGTAGTTTTCCTGCTCTGGTTTCCCCGACCACTAAAATCATGTACAATAGGTCTGGCATGCGGCTCCTGGATGGTGACCCAGCTTCTATCTCTGTGTGGAGAGAGAGGATAAAGAGCGAGAGACAGAGAGAGACACAGAGAGAGAGAGACACAAAGAGAGACACAGAGAGAGAGAGAGAGAGACACAAAGAGAGACAGAGAGAGAGATAGAGGAAGACAGAGAGACCAGAGAGAGACCAGAGAGAGAGAAAGACATAAAGACCAGAGAAAGAGAGCGAGAGACAGAGAGGCACAGAGAGAGAGAAAGACAGAGAGACCAGAGAGAGATAGTGAGAAGACAGCGAGAAGACAGAGAGATCAGAGAGAGAGAGAGAGGAAGACAGAGAGACCAGAGAGAGACAGAGAGGGACGGAGAGAGAGAAAGACATAGAGACCAGAGAGAGAGAGACGAAGACAGAGACCAGAGAGAGACAGAGAGAGGGAGAGAGGAAGACAGAGAGACCAGAAAGAGAGAGAGAGAGACACACAGAGAGAGACAGAGAGAGAGGCTCAGACAGGCCTCTCTGCATGAAGCCTTCTTGCTACATGGCGTTTTAACTTTTTATTAGTAGTATATTAACCTCGTTCTCTGCTCCACAAAAACTATAAAAACAAGTTGAGTTCCAGGTTCCACACTCACAGAATCTTGTTTATCTCCACCGTCCGTAAATGAAGCCATCAGTCAGGAGCAGAGGCGCGAGCGGGGCTGGTCTTTGCAGGTGGGTGGGGCCTTCTGCAGCTGTTGTGCTAATACCCTCGTTACTGTTAGCGCCGCGCCGGTGATGGTCCCGCGGCGTGAATGAATGTGCGGCGTGAAGACCCGCGCAGGTGCCTGTGTGCTCGTCTGTCACTGACGGGCCGCTGACCTCTCTCCTCCTCTCTCCTCTTCCTCTCTCCTCCTCTCTCCTCTTCATCTCTCTTAAAATTAATTTAATTGGTTATTTTGATTTATTTCAAAGCTGCAAAACACATTTTCACATTTCTTCACACTAATGTAGGTTTGAAAAGGGGTTGGATTAAGCAACAGTGATGCCTGAATTTAGATCAAAGGGGTCACATTGTGGTCACATTTGTGGTCTTTTTCTAGTCTCGGGCTCTCTCTCTGGTCTCGTTCTGGTCTTGTTCTAGTCTCTCTCTCTCTGGTCTCTCTCTAGTCTGTCTCTCTGGTCTCTGTCTTTGGTCTCTCTTTGGTCACTCTCTGGTCTCACTCTGGTCTATCTCTGGTCTCCTTCTGATCCTCCCTCTCTCTATGAACCAATAGCTCCTTTTGTGTTTGTCATTGTTCGTACTGATTGATTCTCTGATCTGTCGTTGGTGAATCAACAATGACTTAATGAATTTTACTGAATGACTTTTAAATCATGTTCAAAGCTGTTTTCTGCTTTTAAAACAAAAGTATTGCCTCAAAAATGCAGAATGTAAGGTTTGATTTGAATTAAAATACAATAAACCAACCCCTCCCTCTGGTGGTAGAAGTGGGGAATGACACACTGACATATTTATTATCGCCCCTGCACATGTTTTAAGACATGAAGTTAAAGTAGAGTCTCGTGTCCTCAGCTCCTCACTCGGGCCTGACCACCGCAGAGTACTACCACCAGATGGCGCTGTTGGCGGGACACCGTAGCCCCTACACCGCCGACCTCCTGCCCTCTGTGGCCTCTACAGCTGGGGCCGCGGGAGCCAGCGCCCTGCACATGGAGTACCTACAGGCCATGGAGAGTAAGTACCACTCACCCCAGAACCAGGAACTTCTGTCTCGGCTCAGTATTCACTTTGACACAGATGGATTCACTACTGTCTTCTAAATGTATTCATCCCACGCACATGTAGGTTCAAGCCAATTAAGATATCGTTAAAGGCAAGTTTATCTGTATAGCACAGTTCATACACACGGCCAGTCCCTGTGCTTCTCAGAGTCCCAGTAGGAGGCCAGTCCCTGTGCTCCTCAGAGTCCCAGTAGGAGGCCAGTCCCTGTGCTCCTCAGAGTCCCAGTAGGAGGCCAGTCCCTGTGCTTCTCAGAGTCCCAGTAGGAGGCCAGTCCCTGTGCTCCTCAGAGTCCCAGTAGGAGGCCAGTCCCTGTGCTCCTCAGAGTCCCAGCAGAAGGCCAGTCCCTGTGCTCCTCAGAGTCCCAGCAGAAGGCCAGTCCCTGTGCTCCTCAGAGTCCCAGCAGAGTCAGTATATATGGCAGGAGATAGTTTATAATAACGTGTACTATTAAAGATTGATTCATATTTTACTACAATTGAAACATTTGACTCTTTGGTTAAAAAAATTAAATCTAAAACATTGCAATTTTGGGTTCAGACAAATCAAGAAATTGTCAGGAACCAGTGAAAGATTTTCCAATAACCAAACTAGATGTTGGACAGACCATGAAAATCCAGTATTCTTCCTGATTAGACCAAATGTGATGTTTTTGATTCTTACAGCTTTGACTGTAATCATTGTACTCTTAAATCACAAAGGAACAGGTAACAACAGCAAAACTGAACATGTGGAGGCGGATCTGAAGTGAGTTTTGAGCTGTGACTTAAAGTTTTTCTGAATATTGAAGTTTTTCTTGGTTTGTGGGAGTGAGTTCCGGAGAGTCTTGCTCCTGTGAAGATGAAGCAGTAACACACAATTCTTTTAAACTCCAAATAAGTGAGAACGAAGCGCTCTCTCCGGTCACATGTTCACAGTGAAGTCTCTGCAAAGTGACAAATAAAGAGCTTTAGTATTGGACTGAAATCTCCGACGCCGCGGCTGTAATTAGGACTTTAAGCACAATAGCCTCTTTAAGCACAAATAGGCAGGATCGGCCATTGTTCCATTAGCAAAGCTCGCTACGACGCTAATTACATCGATATGAAACCGACTTCCAGAGCCGGGAGATTACCATTGACTCTTGATGGACCTGCTCTTTGGTAGTAGCTGCTTTTAAAGTGCAAATTTCTCCCACATAAAAAACCCAGCGATGACTTATTACCAACAATGATCACAGACATTCTTTTCGCGCCGGGAAACGTTGCATCTACACTTTAAATTTGCCCCTAATTGTTTTGTTTCAGTCTATTAATCTTGAGAAGTGACATAGAAGGAAGAGGAGGCTGCCGTGATGAAGGGACATTCCAATCCCCACTTAATAGCAATTAATTTTCTGATAGCCGCTCAAGTTTGGGCCAGTTTTAATTAGTTTGTTCGACGGAAAAAACAGGATTCGGTCCCGGGATGAAAGCCGCGTCTGCCTAAGTACGCGCTCATCAAAGGGAGAGGGGTGAGGCGGGACGACCCTTCCCAGATTCACCGGGACTTTAATTTCCTATTTACACTTTAAAAATAACTCATTAGCATAAGTCTGGTGCTTACACTCCGGCGCCCAACACATTACGACAATAGCTTGTTTAAATCATGTCAGAATGCGGCCACTTTGGTTAAGCTGGACTAAATATAGAGCGGGATATGGTGGAGCCTTCCGTGGTGGTATTCCCGGCGGGCCCACCTATGCAGTAATGTACCGCCGTTCATTTATAATCATAGAGGAAAACACAATAGACACGGCTGCAGCTGCGGTGGGGGGCCGCCTACCTGCAACACCAGCTCTGAGTCAGTGTAAGAGGCGTCAAACTTCAGATTTAAAACACAATCATATGAAACTACCTTACATTTTACTGTTTATATATATTAAGTATTATATGAAGTATTGATTAATACTTATTGCTCTGATTATAAAGAATTTACTTATCTCTGTGTCTGTGCAAAGCAGCGGTTTGTTACTAACTCTGAGGAGCACAGGGACTGGCCTCCTGCTGGGACTCTGAGGAGCACAGGGACTGGCCTCCTGCTGTGGACTCTGAGGAGCACAGGGACTGGCCTCCTGCTGGGACTCTGAGGAGCACAGGGACTGGTCTCCTGCTGGGACTCTGAGGAGCACAGGGACTGGTCTCCTGCGGGGACTCTGAGGAGCACAGGGACTGGTCTCCTGCTGGGACTCTGAGGAGCACAGGGACTGGCCTCCTGCTGGGACTCTGAGGAGCACAGGGACTGGCCTCCTGCTGGGACTCTGAGGAGCACAGGGACTGGCCTGGTCCCAGAGTCAGGACTAAACATGAGGAGGCAGCGTTTCAGATCATGCAGCTAAAATCTGGAACAGTCTTCCCTAAAAAGTGAGACAAGCTTCTTCGAACTGTGCTATACAGATAAACTCTCCTCGTGACTACTCCTCTTCCCTTTCTACAAACGTGTCTCTCTCTAAACACGTGTCTCCTGTAAAAGCCGCCTCCACAGCCTTAAACTGCGGCGTGTGACAGTGGCTCCGTCGGGGCCCTTGTGACCGCGCCCCCCAGGTGAGCCGCGCCGCTTCAGCCCCAGTTTTCGGCTCTCCTCTCCCCGCCACAACCCTCCTCCGTCCAACCAGAATTAATGGCGCGGCGTGTAAGCATCCGTCGTGTCCATAAATCAAGGGGAAATTAGAGGGACGTGAGCCCGCTGCCGCCCGTGCTCTGCCGCGCTCTCCCTGGTTGGCCGATTTATCATTTGGGTTGTGCATTAATAAACAGCACTCCCGGGAGGATTGGCGGCGCCGGGACGGGGCTCGCCGCGCCTCGTCTCCTAATTCACCAAAGTGGAAGCTGTCCCTCAACATCAGGTGGATCCGTAGCCAGAGCCGATGAAACGCAAGGACATTTTGGGTGGAATGAGTAATCAGAAATCTCATTGCACCGGTGCTGGTTGGTTGCTTTGAAGCCTCCGGTCATGGATCTCTCTATAAATAACAAATAACACTTATAACACAATATCCTCAGCTTTATTTATGTTAATCTACTTTATTATGACTTGCTTGCACCATATGCACAAGAAAAACCCGAGTTTGGGTTTGTCTGCAGTCATTCTAATCTAATCCAATATATTCTATTAATTTAACCCAAGCCAAAGTCAATATGTGTGTTTCTCAGTCCAAACCATGTGTAATCAGTCCAAACCATGTGTAATCAGTCCAAACCATGTGTACTCAGGTAAACTTATCCCAGTCTCAACAACTTTTACTATTACTACTACACTTGGTACTATTTAGACACTATTTCAAAGACACCAAGACATTTATGGATTCAGGCTTTACATCGCAACATAACATGGAAGCTGGGGCAAATGAGACACCTGAACCTTTACACACACAGAGAGACACACACACACCTTTACACACACACACATCTCACAATTACTACCAGTTTTTGCTAATACACACACATTTATTTTTCCCATTAAAACGACATAGCCACAGTTCTGTATACAGTATTATTGGCAGGTTTCACATACGGCCTGCTCATTCCAGCGCGCTCCTCCGTCTCACACACGCACACACACACACATACACACACACACATACACTGTACACACTGATTACCATGTGAATACCGCGCTCCGTAATCGTTGGAAGTGTCAAGTGCGAGATGGAGCCGGAGATGGATGGATTGTGGGGGACGCGCACTCGGAGGAGGTGGCGGTGGATGTTACTGGGCCTCTGTAAGCCGGTTTTGTTTCCCCTTTTATCAAATAACTCCAAATGTTTTCTTCTCCACGAGCCTTGAGTCACAAAGTCCTCGTGTGTCAGCTCAGGCATAAAGCCAGACATCCCCTTTAGTGGTTCCACCCCTTTTCTTGTCTTGTTTGTGACATCCCAGTGTGAAAAGACAACAAAAGTCACGTTCTAATCTCCACCCGTGGCTCTTTGTGCGTCTGTGTTCTCCGCCTTTTTACCTTTTCAAAAACCCTCCTTCAGTTATTCCCAGTGATTGCATTTGAATGAGGAGTGGAATTGGACTGAGTGAAATATTACCATACACAGTCAGAGCATTTCTCCAACATAAAAGGCTTGTTTTCTGTCGCCAGAAACGCAAACAGAGAATCAAGTGACAGGCGAGCGCGCATCCAGACACCGGCTTTGTCTCGTGATTGACGTGAGTGTCATCTGCGAGTGAGACAGCAGTCGGAATGTACTTCACAGAGATTTGAGATGAGATATACTTAATACTTTAAAGTATAAGGTTAAACGCACCCGACTTGGTATTGGTTTAGTGGTGTTTGCGAAGCTGGGACCTGTAGATTGTGGTAATTCATGAAGGAAAGTTGAGCAATAAATGTGGAACGTTTGGGGTGACTTCCATGAATATTGATAATAATATTCCTTGTGTATGTGCAAGTAATTCAATCAGTAAGTAATGTTTATTTATATAGCGCATTTTACAGACCAATGTACAGACCCAAAGCTCTTTACAATGTTCAGAGTCAGATATTGTTCCAATCCTTCCACACACGGTGATGACAGAAGCGAGTCCAGAACACACTGGACCATCAAAGCCTCTGACCCAACACCATGCATTCACTCTCTCATTTACATTCAGACCTATTGTGCATGTTTTTAGTGGAAGGGGAAACCGGAGCACCTGGAGGAAACCAATGCAGACACGGGGAGAACATGCAAACTCCACTCAGAATGTGTAGGTTTCCTCCGGGTGCTACAGTTTCCTCTACCACTAAAAACATATGCAATAGGTAGTGTGTGTTTGTGACTGCGACTCTGCGACTACAGATGGAAATTATCCACAAAAGATGACCAAAAGAAATGAAAATGACATGACAGCTAAAATCTTATTATTCAATTACACCTATACATTTTGAGAAAAAAAACTTTATTAAGGATATTATTTCCCCCCAAAAAAGTTTGATGGAGATGGGCTTTCCATAGAGCAGCGCAGGAGCAGAGCAATCGCCCAGAAATGTGTTTGACTGTAAAATGTCTCTGATTTGATAGTTCCAGCTTCAGTTCCAGCTTCAGTTCCAGCTTCAGTTCCAGCTTCAGTTCCAGCTTCAGTTCCAGCTTCAGTTCCAGCTTCAGTTCCAGCTTCAGTTCCAGCTTCAGAATGAGGCAGATTTCAGACCATTTCTGAGCTACAATTTCCTCCACCATAAAAGCATCGGTTAACATCATGTTGACAATAACTCTCCTCACATTTAGTCTCCTTCCTCTTTCCAAAAGCCTAAAGGCAAAGGTCTGTGTATTCCCTCATTCCTGTTCCTTTATTCCAAGCCTCATTTGAACATTCTCTTCTGCATTTTTTCTTCTCGAGCCCAAATCAAGCCTGCAGTTTCTCTCCCTCCGCAGACTCCCGGTTCCCCAGTCCGCGGCTGCCATCACGGCCCAGCAGGAAGCGGCCTCTGCCCATCTCGCCTCTCTCCGAGCACAGCTTCGACCTCCAGACCATGATCCGGAACTCTCCCAACTCCCTGGTGACCATGCTCAACCACTCCCGCTCCAGCTCCTCCACCAGCGGCTCCTACGGCCACCTCTCCGCCGGGGCCATCAGGTAACCGCCCACTGGCTCTCTCTGATTACCCAGACACACATAAGACTAGTGTTTTATTACTCAGGCACTTTTCTAGATACTTAACCACTGCAAAAAGTGATGAAAACAAGTCAGAAAATGCTCAAATTCTGCAAAATGTGTCTTAATTTCAGTAGATTCGGACTTAGCCTTAAAACAAGATTTAACAATGGGACAAAGCAAAATGATCTTGTTTAAAAAGATACAGAAATGTCTCAGTTGGAAAGAGAAAATACAGCAACAGTTCTTGAGATAAAACTAAATGGCTTCGTCCCATTGGAGAAACTTCAGTCAGAGTCAGTCAGAACGTGTCAGATTAATATTAAAAAAACATTTATGACCTCATATTTTGTCATTTTTTGCAGTGCGGTCGCCTTACATCAGTGAAAAGTACATTTAAAGTTAGAACACAAGTTAAAATACAGAGGATGGTGTAGTTCTGGTGTGTGTGAATAGGTTTGAGAGTTTTGAGGGTGGATTTAAAATGTGTGATTAGTTGAAGTCTGGGTTTATGTCTGGGTTTTAACACCAGTCATTTGGCTCCATCTAAATCCAGACTTGTGCATGACGTTTAAGATGGAGTACCATGATTGTAATTTAGGTCCTGGATCCCTCTTTCAATGTGGGTCTCCCTGAGGTTTCTCTCTTTTTTTCCCACTGGATTATGTTTTGTTTTTAGTAGAGTGGGTCCAGGACATTTAATACCATTTATTAACATTTCTGGACAGTGGTCTGGACCAATGTCTCTTATGTGTTCAACTCAAAGGGCTGCAGATTTGTATTCAACCCAACAGAAGATAAAATATGTATGTATATATGTATGTAAAGTATGTAAACTATAGCAGTGTGAGTTTACAGCAGACTCCACTCATTTCCTCAACTCTGAGTCTAGTCTCAACCTGGAGACCTGAGGAAATGGATTTGAGTCTGGTGTGTTTGCTTGGACTGAAAACCTGTAGCCGCTCCGGACCTTTCTGAAACCATCTTACAGCCCACAGTCATTTTCATATTGAGGAAGTTGAAATACCCAAACATATGGAGCAGCACAGACTTCTTAGTGAGGATATGAAACCCCAGCCGACATTGTCCAGGTCTGTGATTTATCGAGGAGGGTGAGAGCGCCACCTTAAAACAAAAGGCCCAGAGAGAATGAAAAATACTGCATCAAACTTCTGACAATGGGAAACTTTTACAATAGACCTGGACTTCAAACATGGCGGAGTCCTCAAGCAGAAACCCAGCGAAGCAAAGAGGCTGTCAGAGAATGTGCCAGTGTTATCAATGAGCGTCATTATACAATCTGAAGATTTGAACGGCTTAGAAACGAGCTGAAGCTGCTGAATCTTACACTTTTTTTGGATGATTTTCAGTGACGTCCTGCTCCCTCTCTCTCTGTCCGAGTGATTCAGGTCTCTGCTCTGGCTCCTGTGGCTCAGAGAATGGACTTTAAAGCAGCTCTGTTTTTACAAGTCTCTCCATGGTCCACACCAAAGTACATCTGTGACATGTTAGAGCCATATGAACCAACTCTGAAGAGCACAGGGACTGGCCTCCTGCTGGGACTCTGAGGAGCACAGGGACTGGCCTCCTGCTGGGACTCTGAGGAGCACAGGGACTGGCCTCCTGCTGGGACTCTGAGGAGCACAGGGACTGGCCTCCTGCTGGGACTCTGAGGAACACAGGGACTGGCCTCCTTCTGGTCCCAGAGTCAGGACTAAACATGAAGAGACAGCGTTTCAGATTTGTGCAGCTAAAATCTTCCAGTCTTCCTGAAAATGCGACACAGGCCTCTTCTCTGACTATGTTCAAATCCAGGTTAAAAACAGTTCTGTTTAGCTGCAATAACTTAAGGACTGTATCTTCAGTCTTATTAATTTTCCTGATTATTTATTGATTGATTGACTGATTACACTTTGAGTAGCCTTGTGTATGCACTGTGCTACACATATAAACCCGCCTTCGCCTTCTTCCCTGCGGCTGCTGCAGCGGTGTCATTGTGGGTGAGCCTCTCCCATGCAGCGCCGCAGCCCGCTCCTCCCCGGCGGCTCGTGTCACTCATCCCTCGCGCCTCACGGAAGCGTCCGATACATCAGCCGTGCCGGAGCGAGGGTCCGCGGAGCTCAGAGGCAGAGATCCATGGCCCCCACCGCTCTCATTGATCAGCGATCCAGACCCGGCCCAGGATCAATCACCCTCCTCTCTCCCCACTGTCCGCCGTGACAGCCCCAAATAGCTGCGACCAACAAACGGATGACTGATATGACAAGGAGATGGGCCCCCAAATGTGTCTCGCACCATTGATTTCCTCTGGCCTCATAATAAGATCAGTGATGGAGGAAGCTTTAGTGCGGCAGGATGGATGAACTGCTGTGAGAGAGAGAGACAAGAGTGAGAGGAGAGAGAAGCCAGAGAGAGGCCAGAGAGAGACCAGAGAGAGACCAGAGTGAGAGGCCAGAGAGAGACCAGAGAGAGAGGGACCAAAGAGAGACCAGAGTGAGAGGAGAGAGAAGCCAGAGAGAGGCCAGAGAGAGACCAGAGAGAGACCAGAGAGAGAGGGACCAGAGAGAGACCAGAGAGAGAGGGACCAGAGAGAGACCAGAGAGAGAGGGACCAGAGAGAGACCAGAGTGAGAGGAGAGAGAAGCCAGAGAGAGGCCAGAGAGAGGCCAGAGAGAGACCAGAGAGAGACCAGAGAGAGAGGGACCAGAGAGAGACCAGAGTGAGAGGAGAGAGAAGCCAGAGAGAGACCAGGGAGAGACTAGAGAGAAAGCAGAGAAAGATCAGAGAGAGAGACCGGAAAGAGGGCAGAGAGAGAGTCCAGAGAGAGACTAGCTATGTTCACTCACTACTGCTACCAATCCACTAACACCTTACAATATACAAATACTAATACAAATACACACAAATCAACATTTTTAAGCAAATAAAACCGGCGGAGCAGCCATGTGTATTTACAAAGCTGCGTGTTCCAGCTGGGATAATTTATCACCTGTATCATTTGCCCAGTAGGAGAATGACACAGTGGCTTACACACGACCACATGATAATTCACAGTGTGTTAACAAGTCCAACATTCATCGGCGAGGCTTTAGCCGGCAGCCGCGGTTCCAGTATTACCACTCCACCCCTGTCAGATCGTCCTCAGGGATAACAACCATCCAGAACAATTCATTTATCCACTTCCGTCTTCTCCCTTAGAATTTTTTTTTTTTTGTTTTTTTTTGCCTCATTGCTTTTTGCCCAGATCCACGGAGCAGTGAAGTGGTACAGTAGTATTTGGGTGATTTACAGTGGTGGCGAATGTACATGCGCTGGCACTATGTAAATAATACAGGCTAAAATTCATGAGCTGAGAAACTGCTAAGTAAACAGGAGAGAGACAAGAGGATGTATGGGAGCCGGAGGTCTAGAGTAGGGCAGGCGAGGTTTTTGGGTCAACGCTAAAACTTTTAGACCACAATTGTGTTCAGTGTTGGGGATGAGAGTTTTAATGTCGTTAAAACTGACAAAAAAAAGAATAGATTCCTCCAGATATATCTGTGATCTTCCTGAACGCAGGCCAGAGAGACCTGAGAGAGGCCAGAGAGAGAGACCTGAGAGAGGCCAGAGAGCGAGACTAGAGAGAGAGACCAGAGAGAGATTAGAGAGAGAGTAGAGAGAGACCAGAGAGAAACCAGAGAGAGACCAGAGAGAGATCATAGAGGGACCAGAGAGAGACTAGAGAGGGAGCCGAGAGGGAGACCAGAGAGAGACCAGAGACTAGAGAGACACCAGAGGAAGCCATTATAGTGAATTTCTATCATTTTTTGAGTTTTTTTGTATATAAACTGTGCTATACAGATAACCTTGCCTTGTGTTCCTCAGCCCGGCCCTGAGCTTCGCCTACCCTCCCACCCCCGTGGCTCTGCACGTGCACCAGCAGCTGATGAGCCGACAGCCGGGTCTGGTGGGCTCTGCCTTCGGCCACAGTCCCCCTCTGATCCACCCCACGCCCGCCTTCGCCACACAGAGACCTGTCCCCGGCATGCCCCCCCCGGGTCTCAGCGCCAGCGAGAGGTCTGCCCTGTCCAACGACTCTGCTCAGGTGGGTCCACTGTCAGACCTTACAATAAGTCACTTCATGAAGACCTGCACTTTAATTGAACAAAAAATACCTTATGTCTACTCTATACTCTACTCTACTCTACTCTACTCTACTTGGTTGTGTTTCCATTACACATCTGTGGAAATTCCTTGGGAACCATGGCTTCCAGCAGCACTCTGGCCAACTTCTGTCAGTTAAAACAGTTTTGTACCAGCTCGGCCTGGATAGAACCAGGACCAAGAGGGACTAAAGAAGGACCTGGTACTGGTCACTCAGGACCAGAGGAAACACTGAGTAGAGTAGAGTAGGGCAGGGTAGGGCAGGGTAGTGTTAGGTAGGGCAGGGTAGGGTAGAGTAGGGTAGAGTAGAGTAGAGTAGGGTAGGTTAGGGTAGGGTAGGGTAGAGTAGAGTAGAGTAGAGTAGGGTAGGGTAGGGTAGAGTACAGTACAGTACAGTAGAGAAGAGAAGAGTAGGGTAGAGTAGAGTAGAGTAGGGTAGGGTAGGGTAGAGTACAGTACAGTAGAGTAGAGTAGAGTAGAGAAGAGTAGGGTAGAGTACAGTAGAGAAGTGTAAGGCCAAGTAATGCTGGTGGAAACAGGGCCCGAGAGGGTTAGCTTGAGGGTTAGCTTTACCGTTAGCTTCTACGACTCATCTATTTTGACCATAAACAGTCAGTATCGCTCCATAATCCACAGAGATCAAAGAACTGGAGAAAAGCATCTTCTCAGAGTCCTTTTTTCAGCTCAATATTGCGACTTACAGAGAAATATCCTGGAAACAAAAGCACACCTTGTTAAATAGACAGCGTCGTCGCGTGGCCGATCCAGCCCAGACTGTACAGGCAGGACCCCCCCTCAGAGCGGCCCTCTCCTGGCAGGACCCCCCCTCAGAGCGGCCTCCTGGGACCTCCCTCCCACGCCTGTTGTCTTCCTGTTTTTGAGGCTGCCAACGTCGTGCCTGCTGCAAACAACAAGGGGCTTGTTAGCATAGAATCCCACTGCTGACTCCATTAATCACAGCGCAGGGAACCAGGATATAGTGAGCCAATATTGACATGGATAGATGGATCCAGAGGGGCCCGCTCGTCCCCTCCTCGGCCCTAACTCTATGTGGGGCCCATATTTGAAGTAAATATTCCGTGTTTAAGAGCGGTCCTCACAGCTGCAGCGCCTGATTTGAAAGTGTGCCCTCGGAAATTGCCTCTTCCTTCTCCGGGATACGAGGGATATTGCTTTGGGGCAGAACTAAAGTGCGAATGATAAAACACAAGTGCAGACATCGGCAAAATGTATACGGGAAATATTAACCAAAAACTTTTCAAAACACAACCTGAAACTTCTGCTCCACAAGGAAAAGGGAAAGTAATGGAACAGAACTGGAACAACCGAGTCAGAAAGATGTGATTTTCTAGTTTTGGGGTTTGCTGTCTGCCTGGTAGACCTGCGCCTTTCTGTGTTTGTCCCTGTCCCTGCGTTTTGGTGCGTTTCCTCCAGGCGCTCCGGGTTTACACACTTCCGAGTTTATGTTAGAATTGAAGTTTTTTTCGAAAATGTCTTGCTAATTTCTTGCTATGTTGATTTAAAACTCATTGTGTTCGTGTTTCTCCTTGAGGCCAGAGCATAGTAAGAAAGCTCTCTAACTTTAGCATAACAAAGAAAAAAGTCAAAAATCTCTAACTGTAGCATTACAAAGCATAAAAAGTACAGGATAAAGTACTAGGATCAGTACTAGCATACAGTACTCGGATACAGTACTAGGATTCTCTTCAGCTGCTTGTGCTTCTCTCTTCAGACCAAACCCACCTCAGAGTCGGCCGTGAGCAGCACCGGAGACCCCATGCACCACAAACGCTCCAAGCTCAAACCAGAGGATCCTCTGCCCAGTCCAGGGGCCCTCAGTGTGCAGGTGAGGCCCTCACACACACACACACACACACACACACACACACACACACACACACACACACACACACACACATATACAAGTGGCAGGAAAAATGAAGGAGAAGAGTAAAGTATTTTACATGAGGGAAATACACAGTGGGAATATCGAAGGAGGTAAAGCAGGAGGCAAATATTATAAACTTTAGGTAAAAAATGTAGCCAATGGGAGGCCTCAGGCCTTGGGGAGTGACTTTCTTTTTATGAAGTATCCTTACAGCTTATTTCCACAGGATGCGTTACAGCACGAATGTGTTGTACGCGCAGCAGACCAGCATAAGATTGTTCCATGTTTACCAATGATGATATTTACACACTCCCCTTTTATGTCCCAGTTTTACAAACTCCCCAGACTGTAGTGACACCTCCTCCTCTCCCCTGTGCTCTGCAGGACCATCCTGACGGCATGACGCTGGTGAAGGAGGAAGGAGACAAGGACGAGAGCAAACAGGAGCCAGAGGTGGTCTATGAAACCAACTGCCACTGGGAGAACTGCTGCCGGGAGTTTGACACACAGGACCAGCTCGTGCAGGTGAGGCCGCTTTGGAGCCGTTTGCAGTAAAACCTCATTGGAATACATGTGCAAACGTATGCAAGTGTACACCAGACACACACATACATAAAACAAGCTAAAACAAGTGTCAAGGACAAAGAAAAAGCAGATTTAAAATGTTTTAATCCTGGTTTTTTTGCTATTTTGACTTTGTCCCGTTGTTCTTTGTAACCTTGAACTATCAACTCACTTTTTCATTCATAAAAAATAGCAGCATTTTTAAAACAAAGCACCTTCACTGCAAAAAAAGATAAAATATGTGGAAATAATTGAGTGTTTTTTTATCTTATTCTGACACATTCTGACTGTGTTAAAACAAGATTCTCCAACGAGACAAAGACATTTAGTGTTATTTCAAGAACTGCTGCTTTATTTTTTCATTCCACTGGAGACATTTCTTGTATCTTTTTAAAACAAGATCATTTTGCTTTGTCCCATTGGAGAATCTACTTTCAAAGCTCAGTCTAAATGTGCCCAGATTAAGACACATTTACCAAGATTCTAGACATTTTTCACTTATTTTTCATCATTTTTCTGCATTCTTCTCTCTCTCTCTCTCTCCCCTGACCTACCTCCAGTGTACTCAATCCAAAAACACACTTATATATATGATGCAGAGGGTCAAAGCTAGTGTGGTGTAGTGAAACAGCCATCACACACATCTGATAGAGCGATGGCGGCTCCTCACGGCTGTCTGTTCGCCGTCCTGACACGGCAATCCTCCGCTGCGGTGGTAACCTCTATCTATAATTGATATCCTGCACGCGGAATAGGCTGCCTCCCGCGTCTGAAGGGCTCGGCTCAAAAGGTTGAAGATCTTGACAACTCCTCTGCCCTGATTCTGGCAGCGAGGAGGAGAGAGGAAGAGGAGAGAGAGGCGAGAGAGTCACAGCAGGTGGTCACGCAGGCTCTGACCTCTCCAACATGTAGTTAGAGTGAGTTAGAGATGTCACTGTGGGAAGTGTTACAAGTCAGAGGAATAACTCCATCTGGGGCCAGTGTTGCTGCATATGTCACTGGTACCTCCTGTCTGTGCCCGGCTTTGGGTAAAAAAACTTGACACAATCTACAAAAAATGAGCTCAAAATACAATACTGCAAAATGTGTGTATTAGTCTCATGGCAAAATGGAAAGAACTCAGAACAAAAAGGATTTAATAAAAGCAATAACAAAGAAAAATCCAGGGTAAAAATACAAAACGCAACCAAACGGGACCGACAGGAGGCGACAGTAGCTCAGTTGGTAGAGCATTGGCCTTTGGGTTCAAGCTCATCATGGGACATACTCCAACTGCTCCCACTAATGTCTGCTGTCGTTGTGTCCTTGGGCAAGACACTTAACCCCACTTTGCCTGAAGCTCCCGCTGAAACACCAAGGCTGTGGCACCACTGATGTAGCAGCCACTTTCCTGTGGAGCCATCCCCTGCAGAGGATCAGAGGGACCGGTGCTTTGAGCATTGGAAGCCCCCACCCGACCCAGAAATGGACTAATAAAGGGGTTGAGAATGAATAAATGAACCAAACTTTATAAATAAAGGTTACTTACTTACTTACTTAACTAAGAGTGAAGACACAAAACGAAGAGACGTGACATTGATAATTACATAACAGTAGCTCAGTTGGTAGAGCACTGGTCTTTGGACCCAATGGTTGTGGGTTCGAACCCACCACGATCCACGTCACCTTCTCCAGCTGATGTCTGCTGTTGTTGTGTCCCTGGGCAAGACACTAAACCCCACATCGCCTGAAGCCCCCACTGAAAGATCAAGGCCATCTAGTCGATGACAGAGAAGCCAGTCCTGTCATCAACTAGATAATTAATAAAGGGGTAGAAAATGACGTGACATACAGTATAGTTTGCATCCCTACATTTAAATCAACCAATCGTTGTTAAATTGTCAATAATTCACTCTAAGGCTGTAATATTTCTCTTTCCTCGCGTCTCTCTTCTTCTCTGACCTCCAACCGCTGCCACCAAATCCTTATTACTCTCCACTTTCCTATCTCCAAATTGTTTTTCCAGTTTGTGGCAGATATTGCATTTTTCCTTCTCATTTGCACATGCAGATATGCCGGGGAGATGCCAGCCCACTCTTCTAATTCAGATCCACACACAGGGGGGTGAGGGGGTGAGGAGGGGGGGTCTTATCGGGCCCAGCTCCCACCCCCCTGTAATAGGATAAGTACAGTATTTGGACCACAGTGGCTCGCATTGGGGGTTGGGGGCCCGAGAACGCTGATGATGGTGGTGGGGGTTCCACATAAGCGAACAATAACAGGGCCCCCTCTTTTCCTTCGTTCAGAAGTAGCTTCAGGGAAAAAACAAAACAGGATTGTTAAGGATCGGGCGTTTGGAGGGAGGTTGGTCACGTGACTTCAGGTGGAAGGAAGTGTTATGGATTAGACCAGTGGTGGGCAAACCCCGGCCCGTGGGCCAGATGCGGCCCTTTGGATGCTTCTATCAGGCCCCTGAGCCCTCCTCAAAATATATATGTTAAGATTAAGATCAAGAGAGGTTAGAATTAAGAACATTTATTCATCCCACAGTGGGGTCATTTCAGTTTAAACATCATACAATCCCCCTCTGTGCTGTGTGCAGGTATGTGTGAGATATTTTTTTCATATAAACCATACATTTATGTTTTAAGAGGCCAAGAGGCCCATGATCGCTCTGGATGAACTGCAGATAACTACAGCTGAGGTGGGAGAGTCTGTCCATAGGACAACAATCAGTCGTGCACTGCACAAATCTGGCCTTTATGAAAGAGTGGCCATTTCTCAAAGATATCCATAAAAAGTCTCTTAATGTTTGCCACAAGCCACCTGGGAGACACACCAAACATGTGGAAGAAGGTGCTCTGGTCAGATGAAACCAAAATCAAACTTTTTGGCCACAATGCAAAACGATATGTTTGGCGTAAAAGCAACACAGCTCATCACCCTGAACACACCATCCCCACCTCAGCTGTAGTTATCTACAGTTCATCCAGAGCAATCATGGGCCTCTTGGCTGCATCTCTGATCAGTCTTCTCCTTGTTTGAGATGAAAGTTTGGAGAGACGGCCGGGTCTTGGTAGATTTGCAGTGGTCTGATACTCCTTCTATTTCAATATAATTGCTTGCACAGTGCTCCTTGAGATGTTTAAAGCTTGGGAAATCTTTTTGTATCCAAATCCAGCTTTAAACTTCTCCACAACAGTATCTCGGACCTGCCTGGTGTGTTCCTTTGTCTTCATGGTTCTCTCTGCGCTTTAAACAGAACCCTGAGACTATCAAAGAGCAGGTGCATTTATACGGAGACTTGATTACACACAGGTACATTCTATTTATCATCATCAGTCATTTAGGACAACATTGGATCATTCAAAGATCCTCACTGAACGTCTGGACTGAGTTTGCTGCACTGAAAGTAAAGGGGCCGAATAATATTGCACGCCCCACTTTTCAGTTTTTTATTTGTTAAAAAAGTTGAAATTATGCAACAAATTTCATTCCACTTCACGATTGTGTCCCACTTGTTGTTGATTCATGACAAAAAAATTAAATTTTATATCTTTATGTTTGAAGCCTGAAATATGGCGAAATGTTGAAAGGTTCAAGGGGGCCGAATACTTTCGCAAGGCACTGTAAACAAAAACAAATGTGACTTTTTAAGAATATGAACCTCCATCATGTTTATGAATTGTTGTCATGGATTCAGAATGTGACTTATAAATGTCCGTGAGGCTGAGGACTCTGTGTGAATGATCCATCTTGGACTACAGTGAGGGAGAAGGGACAAAAAGGAGTTTGAGCAGGAGTTATGGACCTCTGTCAAAGACCACATATTGTCCTGAAAAGGCTTCCGTAGTATCGTAAACTACAACATATGATCTCAAAGTTAGACGGGAGTAAAAACTACACCGTGGACCTTTAAACAAATGTATTTTCCCGAACCAGTCTAACTTCTTTATCAGCCGCTCTTGAAACAGCAGCAGCCGTCTCTCTCTCACATCTTTATTTGCGCTTGGCCTAATTTCCGGATTAAGTCTTCACGCCACCCTCGTCGCTCCTCACCTTGTTCTTGGTTTGTGTGTTTTTTCACCGTCTTCCCCGTCGCGCGGCGCCTTATCGCTCGCGTTTAAGCTCTCGCCGCGCCCGTGATGAGATAAACATCGCATCTATCCGCACATTTAGCCGCACTTATCTCGCCTGCGCACTCAGCAAAAGCAGAGCGGGTGTCAATTCCACTCCCGGACCATGTTTTTCATCCGTTCCCGACGCCTGGTCCTGCTTCGCCGCCGCCGCCCGCCCTCCGCTCAAAGGAAGCACTTTTGTTTAAAGATAAGACGCGCAGTTTTAATGCGGCTCTTGAAGTGGGTTTTTGTCGCTTGTGGCTAAAGATGCTAACACGGCGCCGCTGTAATTCCTTCAAATGGCCTTGCTCAACACGTAGCAGGCCTTGTTCTTTGACTGGGCGGTCTCTCATGTGGGATCCATGCAGGCAAAGGCAAGGTTTTTTGTGTGGCACGTGTCAAACACAAGGAAAACTCAAAGTGCTGAACCAAACAAATAATCACGGTTCATTGAAAAGAGTTTTTAACCTGGATTTGGACATTGTCAGAGTAGAAACCAGTTTTTACCGGAAATGTCTGCCTCCCCATGTTTAGATTAGTCGTACAGGAATGCATGCCTGCTGTGAATAAAGACGTATTTATGAACTCAAACTAAAAAAGAATAAATATTGTGGCATTGAGTTAGTAGAGCGAGATTTGTTTTTTATGTTTTTAACTTTTGGTCTTTGCTGTTGGGTCAGTGTTCTGATCCAAAATGACAAAGTGAAATAAAGTCTATGAAGTGACTGCTGTTGTCTGGACAAAGTACTTAGTACTTAGCAGTTGGTAGTAGTAGTAGTTGTGGTAGTAGTAGTAATATTAGTTGTAGTGGTCGTAGTAGTTGTAGTTGTAGTAGTAGTAATAGTCGTGGTTGTGGTAGTAGTAGAAGTAGCAGTAGTAGTAGTAGTAGCAGTAGTAGTAGTAGTTGTAGCAGTAGTACTAGTAGCAGTAGTAGTAGTAATAGCAATAGTAGTTGTAGTAGTAGCTGTAGTAGTAGTAGTAGTAGTGTATTTTAAAATGGCCCAATCATCTTAAGTATTTTCTGCAGTACAAGCAGCTTTAGTACAAATATATCATTGCTAGTAGTAGTAGAATAGTTTTAGTCATAGTTGCAGTTTTATTTTTTTATTGAATCAAACACAACAAACAGTTCACAAACAAAACCCATTGAGACAAATCCTATAATGCTGTTTGTATTTGAGCGACTGAGCCTCCTGCGTGTGTCCAGGGCGTCTCCCGCAGCCTGTAGGTGGCGCTGTGGTGCGATCGCTCTTTCTCCCGGGCGTCACAGGCAGAGCCCCCCCCCACAGCCCAACCCCCCCGGGCCCCCGGCACTCCCCTTTAATTGGTAAAATGCAGATTCTTTTTGCCATGATCGGGAGAAGGATTAGGCCCTTATCTGTCTGGAGTATCTTACGGAGAGATGAAAAGAGAGCGCAGAATTACACATGCCAATTCCAGCTCCCTGCCTCCTGCTCCTCACCCTCCCTCCCCTCTCCCTCACCCCACCCTCTCCCCCCTCTCTCTCTCTCTTTGCCGTTTTCATGCTCTTTCCCTCCACAAAGCATCTGACATCACAAAAGAGCATATGATTTATTAGGCGGCGTTTGATAAAGCTAAACGGTGTTGCGGGTCCCACGGCTTAGTGAAAATTGCCTTGTAAACATCGCCTCTCTCTTTTCCATGCGCGCTCATTCCCATGCACGAAGGCCGCGTCCCGGAGAGGCTTTGATAAGGAGACGAGGCACCACAGATCCCAAAGTGGGTAAACGCCGAGACTCCGGCGCATTACCGTGAGCTGTGGAAGTGTGCGGCGCGGCGTTGGGCTAAAAGGAGGATTGTTATTTAAACACAAACCAAGTGTAAAAAGCTCCTCGGCTCCTCCCAGGGCCGTAGCTACATGTGGGACAGGGAGGCCAGGGGAACCACGAGCTCTGGGCATGGGGTCAGATCAGGGGCTATCAATCAATCTGTATTCCTATTGCTCATTTAAAACAGGCTGGTGCTGCACGGATGTGATAAAAAAGAAGTCAAAAAATTGCTCAAAATTTAAATAAACTTGGTTGTTTTCCTGAGTCGCCCATTACTGTCAATGCTGCAAGTTAATAGTAATAATTGAAAATAAATTTAGAGGCTACTAAAACTGGTCCTGTGAGCCGGAGGTTGACCTGGTATAGAAAGTGCCCGTGTTCAAGAGCACTTCTAACTTTGGCGCCAAAAGGTGTAATATCTCGAAAGATTCATATTTTTTCAAAATTAAGTTAAATCCTTTTTCTTTCCAACTCCATCTCTCAGTGGTGAGTTTTCATTTCCTTTATCGCTCCAAGATCATTAGAGAAAGACTTCAGTGATGAATTCAAAGGGACTGAGAGAGAGAGAGATTTATGTAGATCCCCTTTAGCTCCACCAGAGGGCGCTAGTCTTCCTGGGGTCCACTCCACACAAGATCAATTCACATTTCAAACACACAGTAAAAAAAGCGATTACAATATTATAACCCTCACCCTCTCTCCTCCTCACCACCCTCTCCTCTTTCCTCTCCTCACCCTCTCTCCTCCTCTCATCACCCTCTCTCCTGACCCTCTCCTCTCTCCTCCTCTCTCCTCTCCTCTCCTCACCCTCTCTCCTCCTCACCCTCTCTCCAATCCTCTCCTCACCCTCTCCTCTCTCCTCCTCTCTCCTCTCCTCTCCTCACCCTCTCTCCTCCTCACCCTCTCTCCAATCCTCTCCTCACCCTCTCCTCTCTTCTCCTCACCCTCTCTCCTCTCCTCCTCTCCTCTCCCCCCCTCTCTCCTCCCCCTGCTCCTAAACCCATCTCGGTGGTGGGTTTACAGAGCCTGATGCTCCGACAGAGAGAAGACGGATGCGGCCTCTATCGGCTCCTGTTTGTCCATTTAGCCGCGTGTCCGGCCGCTCTCAACATGGAGATTATTGATTCCATAAGAATTGCCATTAGATCTGGCCATTAGCACCGTCTCATGCATCACGCTGTCAGCCTCCTGCTCCATCTTTACTCTCCACCCGCGGGATATCGAGCGCCCTCTCTCCTGTCGCGGGGATTCCCTCACGGAGAGACGGCGAGGAGAGAGAAAGACGGAGGTGCAGAGGTGCGGAGATCAATCCCAGAAAACTTCCCTGACGTCCAGCTCTCGCTCTTCTCGCTCTTCTCGCTCTCTCCAATCTTGTTCCCAGGAATTAGTCTTGTTTTGTCACTTGAAAATTAAAAAACCGTCAGAGGAAGAGAGTAATGGAGGCTCTGTGGCGGTGCATTAGCGCGGGTCGGACTCTGCCGCTTGCCTTTTGTCCACGCCACACAGCAGCACCTCAGAGATTTGCATACAATAGATTCTTATAGCAAAGAGAAGAATAGATAAACTGACATTCAAAACTTACACAGAAATATGTTTTATTATTGAGGGGAATAGGAAAAATCTGTAAACCTACTTTCTGAGTCCTGGATATATCGCCTCCTCAAAATCTATCTATCTACTATTTTACTTCTGGGTTTTTCTAGTGGTTTCTTGCTGAGGCAGGAGGGTCAAAGGACAGATATGATCCAAGGCAATTATAGACATTTATTAACATTTCTGGACAGTGGTCATCCCTCTCCCTATGGACCATTGGCTCCTATGTGTTACAATTGAAAAAAAAGAGAGATTGAAGCTACAAAAAGGACCTGGACTAAACCGTGACGTCCTCTTGAACCACAGCACGTCATTGACTTTGCCTTTGAATGAGAACCACTTGAACATGTGACATTTCCCCCGGGGTCAGGTCTTTTAGTCTTTCAGCTCTGCAGATGTGACGTCTGGAGCTCAGAAAGTCCGACTCTCTCCACGCTCCGGACTCGCCGCCACGTAATGCCACCAATTACACCGAGCCAGACCGCGATAAACCTGGAGAGAAATGTGGCGTTTGTAGATAGACACAGGTGTAACAGTGGCGTTCGGAGAGTCTCTGGGTCCGCCTCCTCCTCCTCCTCCTTCTTCTTCGCTGCTTTAAGCCGTGAAGATTGGGAGTTGCGGCGGCAGCACAACTGTCAGCTCTCGTCACAAAGAGGCGCGAGCTCAGAGCGACGTGCGGTGACAGGGTTTATGTGGAAATCCTCTTCAAGGCGGACGCAGAGACGCCTTCTTCCTCTGAGGACGAGGCCAAAGATGGAGCCAGTGTAGATCCAGTGTAGGTCCAGTGTAGATCCAGTGTAGATCCAGTGTAGGTCCAGTGTAGATCCAGTGTAGGTCCAGTGTAGATCCAGTGTAGGTCCAGTGTAGGTCCAGTGTAGGGCCAGTGTAGGTCCAGTGTAGATCCAGTGTAGGTCCAGTGTAGGTCCAGTGTAGATCCAGTGTAGATCCAGTGTAGGGCCAGTGTAGATCCAGTGTAGATCCAGTGTAGATCCAGTGTAGATCTAGTGTAGATCCAGTGTAGATCCAGTGTAGATCCAGTGTAGATCCAGTGTAGGTCCAGTGTAGGTCCAGTGTAGATCCAGTGTAGATCCAGTGTAGATCCAGTGTAGATCCAGTGTAGGTCCAGTGTAGATCCAGTGTAGATCCAGTGTAGGGCCAGTGTAGATCCAGTGTAGATCCAGTGTAGATCCAGTGTAGATCCAGTGTAGGTCCAGTGTAGGGCCAGTGTAGATCCAGTGTAGATCCAGTGTAGATCCAGTGTAGATCCAGTGTAGATCCAGTGTAGGTCCAGTGTAGGTCCAGTGTAGGTCCAGTGTAGGTCCAGTGTAGATCCAGTGTAGGTCCAGTGTAGATCCAGTGTAGGTCCAGTGTAGATCCAGTGTAGATCCAGTGTAGGTCCAGTGTAGATCCAGTGTAGGTCCAGTGTAGGTCCAGTGTAGGTACAGTGTAGATCCAGTGTAGGTACAGTGTAGATCCAGTGTAGATCCAGTGTAGGTACAGTGTAGATCCAGTGTAGGGCCAGTGTAGATCCAGTGTAGGTCCAGTGTAGATCCAGTGTAGATCCAGTGTAGATCCATTGTCTGCTTTACTTCGTCTTGTCTTTGAGGTTGATTACAAATTATTTGGTTCTTTTATACCAGGACTCCGCGGTTTTACATCTGTCTGTTAGAGAAGAGGAGAGCATGGTCCTATTATAATAACTGGATAGGTTAATAGCTTGGAGCTGAAGGACCCATGTGCTCGGGGGATTCTCATGGTACTGCAGACTAAACCAGACTAAATTCACGTGGGCTACCCAGAAATTATCTCCATAGAACTCAATGTAAACTAAAGCAGCTCGACCTCAGCTGACAGAGAACCTACAGCTTCTTGGATCGCCGGGGGTTGGAAGAGAGCAAGACTTTGATCAAGAATCCATCTATACTGGTTTAAACACAAGACTTTTCTCCCAGATGTTTTTCCTAATTCCTGATATCCTTGTTAAATTATTCAACAAGATTAGACCAGTGCAGATTATCATTATCTTACATCTCAGCCACGTTTCTTTAAACTCTGTCCTAAAGTGCGGTTTGTTGTGGTCTGCAGCACATCAACAACGACCACATCCACGGAGAGAAGAAGGAGTTTGTGTGTCGCTGGGAGGAGTGCTCTCGGGAGCAGAAGCCCTTCAAGGCGCAGTACATGCTGGTGGTCCATATGAGGCGCCACACGGGGGAGAAGCCTCACAAGTGCACCGTAAGAACACATGTCCACTACCACACGAACACACTGAGAAAAGGAAAATATTGGGAAGATTTTATCACAAAAAACACATGAATGATGCCTAGTTTTTTAATGGCATGTCTTGTTGCCAGATCCTTCATAATCTTTGAGAAAAAGTCTGAGCAATTTTTAAGCTTGTTTTAAGTCATATTTTCAGAAATAGTAGCAGCTTCATTCTTCTGCAGTGTAAACGATGTGACCTCTGACCTGTGCCCTCTGACCTGTGCCTTCTGACCTGTGCCCTCTGACCTGTGCCCTCTGACCTGTGTCCTCTGACCTGTGACCTCTGACCTGTGCCCTCTGACCTGTGCCTTCTGACCTGTGCCCTCTGACCTGTGCCCTCTGACCTGTGCCCTCTGACCTGTGTCCTCTGACCTGTGTCCTCTGACCTGTGTCCTCTGACCTGTGCCCTCTGACCTGTGCTCTCTGACCCTGCTGCAGTTCGAGGGCTGTGCGAAGGCGTACTCGCGGCTGGAGAACCTGAAGACTCACCTTCGCTCTCACACCGGAGAGAAGCCGTACGTGTGCGAGCACGAGGGCTGCAACAAGGCCTTCTCCAACGCCTCGGACCGAGCCAAGCACCAGAACAGAACTCACTCCAACGAGGTACGCTTCATTTCCATTCATTAGACTCTGAAGCAAACTTTAGCTTTACATTCACTTCTAACTGATCACAATCTGAATATGATTTAGTTTAGTTTTCATGTTAAAAAGTCACAGAATTTCTCTCACTGGGTTTTTAGATTTGATCCAGGAAATATTTATGTTAAACTTTTATCAACATTTAACCCTAACTCTATGTGTTTTGTATCATTGCACTACAAACAGAGATGGAAAATAAGTTTAAAAAAGTCTCAAATTTGGGACAAATGTGTCTTAATCTAAGCACATTCTGACTGAGCCTTAAAACTAGATTCTCCAACAAGACATTTCTTGAGGTTTAAATGCTTGATTCTCTGGTCTGTGTTGGTGAATTCGACTGTATCTTGAAGTCCACTGAGATAAAAACTGTTGTGATTTTGGGCGATTCAAAAATAAATGTAATTGAATTGAAATAGAATTGACTTTTTCCCACTGTTCTCCAGAAACCGTACGTGTGTAAGATCCCGGGCTGCACCAAGCGCTACACCGACCCCAGCTCTCTGCGCAAACACGTGAAGACGGTGCACGGTCCAGAGGCGCACGTCACCAAGAAGCAGCGCGGCGACTACCCCCACCCCCGGCCCCCCCAGCCCCGAGACCAGGGGCCTCACGGACAGGGCCGCTCCCCAGGGTCCCTGAGCCTTGGACACTTCGCGGACCAAAGGGACTATCACTCTACCTCAAAACAGGACGAGTGTCTGCAGGTCAAGGCCATCAAGACCGAGAAGCCTATGGTGAGACCACTGCGACCAGAGAGAGGGGGGGAGGGAGGGAGGAAGGGGGGAGAGAGAGACAGAGAGAGGTGGGGGAGGGAAGGAGGAAGGGAGGGAGGGGGGAGAGAGCGACAGGGAGAGAGAGAGGGAGGGCAGGAGAGAGGGTGGGAGGGTGAGAGAGAGGGGGCAGGAGAGAGAGAGAGACAGGGAGAGAAGGGGAGAGAAAAAGAGGGGGAGAGAGTTTAGTGTTTTTCATAAAAAATATATTCAAAGCAGCTGCTCGCCTTGGAATAGCCATCACCAGTGAGAATAGTTAGACCAAAGGGGAGGGGCCTCAGCTGTCAATCAAGGATTTGAATTTGCTGCGTCCAATCAGGAAGCGGTGTGGGCGGGGCTAACTGGTGTTTGAAAAACGTCTTAGTAGTTAGCACTCTCGATTCTCAGTGAGCAGGCCCTGGGTTCAAATCCTCAGAACAGGGTCTTTCTCTGTGGATTTGCATGTTCTCCCTGTGTGTGCGTAGGTTTCCCCCAGGTGCTACGGTTTCCCCCACCACTAAAAACATTTACTATAAGCATAATCATCCAGCTCTGGTCCTGGATCCTCTGTTACTTCGGGGACCACTGCTCCTGCCCCTGTTCCAGCTTTAACAAACTAACAAACCTCCAGCTGTTGCTCTCACTTTGTACTAACTGTAGTGTTTCTAACTCCTCCTTTTCCCCTTTTTCTCTGTGCTCCTCTGTGTGCTCCTCTGTGTGCTCCTCTTGGTGGACAGTGGGTGATCAGGTGAGACATGTGTGACGTCTGACAGCTAATTTACACAGGAGGCGTTACACCTCGTTTGCGTTGTACGCGCAGCAGACACGTAACATTTTTCCATGTTAACCAACGGGGACGTATGACGGACGTATGACGGACGTATGACGGACGTATGACGGACGTATGACGGACGTATGACGCACGTATGACGCACGTGTGACGGACGTATGACGCACGTATGACGCACGTATGACGGACGTATGACGGACGTATGACGGACGTGTGACGGACGTGTGACGGACGTATGACGCACGTATGACGCACATATGACGGACGTATGCCGGACGTATGACGCACGTATGACGGACGTATGACGCATGTATGACGCACGTATGACGGACGTATGACGGACGTATGACGGACGTATGACGGACGTGACGGACGTATGACGGACGTATGACGGACGTATGACGGACGTGTGACGGACGTATGACACGAGGCTGCGTTTCTAATTTTGTGCGCGCAGCAACGCGTCTCCCATTGAACACATGTGAAACCTGATTTTTCTAGCGGCCCTTGGCTTTAGATCAGCTCCACCACACACACACACACACACACACACGCAGCACTTGTATCTAAACATCAGCAGGAGGAGCAGCAGGTTTTACAGTGATTTTTGACATTGTTTTTTTTCTTTCATAAAGTCTGGCGTCTGGTCAAACACAGAGACCATGAAGACAAACACATGCATGTGATTAGTGTTGCTCTACATCAGTCTCTGTACTGTCCTCTACACTGCTCCATAGACTACACAGGGACAGCTTCAAAAGCCTGTACCTGTGCTCACGGCCATTGTATATACAGCCAAGTCATGTTACGCGCAGATGTCAACGCGTACGTGCTGTTAACGCCTGCTGTGGAAATGAGCTGTAAGACACATCACCGTCTTCGTCACTGTTTATTCTCACTGTGTCTCTCATGTCGTCTCTCAGTCGTCCACAGCTGCTCTTCAGGATCCATGTTTTAGAGAAAATCCTACAGATGTTCTTTTTGTTTGTTTGTCAAAGCCATGGCCTTAACACTTATTGTATATAGGTGTCTCTCATCTGTCTCTCGTCTGTCTCTCGTCTGTCTCTCGTCTGTCTCTCGTCTGTCTCTCGTCTGTCTCTCGTCTGTCTATTGTCTGTCTCTCGTCTGTCTCTCGTCTGTCTCTCGTCTGTCTCTCGTCTGTCTCTCATCTGTCTCTCGTCTGTCTCTCGTCTGTCTCTCATCTGTCTCTCGTCTGTCTCTCATCTGTCTCTCGTCTGTCTCTCATGTGTCTCTCATCTGTCTCTCGTCTGTCTCTCATCTGTCTCTCGTCTGTCTCTCGTCTGTCTCTCGTCTGTCTCTCATCTGTCTCTCGTCTGTCTCTCATCTGTCTCTCGTCTGTCTCTCATCTGTCTCTCGTCTGTCTCTCATCTGTCTCTCGTCTGTCTCTCGTCTGTCTCTCGTCTGTCTCTCATCTGTCTCTCGTCTGTCTCTCATCTGTCATCTGTCTCTCATCTGTCTCTCGTCTGTCTCTCGTCTGTCTCTCGTCTGTCTCTCATCTGTCTCTCGTCTCGTCTGGTGTTGTCCATGTCCTAACGGTGTGTCTCTCTCGCAGACGTCTCAGCCAAGCCCTGGCGGTCAGTCTACATGCAGCAGTGAGCAGTCCCCCGTCAGCTCCTATCCCAGCAGTGGAGTCCAGTTTGCTGTGAGCGCGGGGGGCCTGGGGGGGGAGGGGGAGAGGGGGGAGGAGGAGGAGGAAGAGGAGGAGTGTGAGGGAGGAGCACCCATCATGGACTCCACTGTCTCCACCGCCACACTGAGCCACCGCAGCCTGGGCCGGCCGCTGCGCTGGATGGAGCACCTGAAGATGGAGAGACTGAAGCAGGTGAACGGAGGACTGCCCCAGCTGTGCCCCACTCCCCCCCCCAGAGGCCCCGCGCCCACCGGGAAGGGTAAGGACTGGGGGCCTCCCCCAACACATGTGACACATTCTATCACACACACACACACAAAGGCTCTTAATAACACTCATTAAGTCTGCGCTAAAGTCACTCTCTGTTCACTCACACACTGCTGTAGCCGCAGCTGCCCTGGGGCACTGCATCATTCAGCCTGTTTCTCAGTGAACACCTGTGGAAGCACCACACTAACTCTCTCTGGTCTCCTTTTGGTCCTCAGGGCAGACCGAGGGCCGGGGGCCTCTGTCGGAGCTGGGCTCTGAGCTCACGGTGCTGAGCCTGTGGAGGGAGCGCAGAGACAGCAGCGGCTCTACTGCGAGCTCCGCGTACCTGAGCAGCAGCCTGTCGCCGTGTCTGTCCAGCCGCCGCTCCAGCCACACGTCCAGCCTCCAGCGCCGGCAGCTCAGCTCCACCGACTCCTACGACCCCATCTCCACCGACGCCTCCCGCCGCTCCAGCGAGGCCAGCCACTGCGGCCCCCCCTCTGGGCTGGGGTTTGGGGGCTCCAGGGGGTCCTTGAGCCTGACCCCCGCACAGCACTACCACCTGAAGGCCAAGTACGCGGCCGCCACCGGGGGCCCGCCTCCCACTCCTCTGCCCAACATGTACAAGAGCCGCTCTGTCGCCGCCGACGACGGCTGGAATCTGCCGCCGCTGGTGCGGCCTCAGCAGTGCAGTGACCCCTGGAGGAGGAGGGTCCCGCTCCCCGCACAGAGCGCCATGAACCCCAGCCGCCGCGCCAGCGACCCAGTGCGCTCCGTGTACCACTCTGCTCCACTGCAGCGGTTCAACAGCCTCAACAACCTGCACCCCCTCCCCCCGCTCCCCCAACACCTGGCCCCCGGGGGCCACAACCTGCACAACTACACAGGACCCTCACAGCAGACAGGGGCCCCCAGCATCGCGGAGCAGGCGGCTCTGGAGTCCCTGGCCCTGGAGGACGTGGGGGAGATGGGGGAGATGGGGGACAGTGAGGGTCTGTTGCTAGGAGACGAGTGCATCCTCCCAGACGAGCTGCTGCAGTACCTGCACTCACAGGCAGAGGACCCCGTCCCCCTGAACCCCTACGACCAAAGAGACTACTGTCAGCCCCCAGGGGCCCCAGGCCTCAGCCTGCAGCAGCAGGGGCCCGAGCGCAGGAGCCCCAGACACCTGCCCGTCCAGTGGAACGAGGTGAGCTCCGGCAGCGTGTCCCCTCGGGGGTACCCTCCCTGTGAGCGCTGGGGGCCCGACAGGAAGCCGTTTGGACGCGTTTCCAACATGGTGGTCCAACAGCTGGGCCCCCAGCCACTGCAGGGGCCCTGCGCTGTGGCCCCCGTGAAGACAGAGGCGCGGCTCTCGTGTATGAAACCTCTGTGTGGAGGAAACAGGAGCATGGACCTGTCCCACAGCTCTGAGGGCCCGGGGCCAAGAGCCTACGCCCCTCACCCACCTCACCCTCCTCACCCTCCTCACCCTCCTCACCCTCCTCACCCGCCTCTCAACCGCAGACCAGAGCTACAGCAGAGGAGCAGGAGCTCTGGGGTCAAAGTGGAGGCCCCTGACGATGGGTTCCTGGAGCAGGGCTTCGGTCAGCTGTCCTTTGAGTGTGTGGACAAACCTCTTCTGTTCCCGGTGCTGGAGGATCCTTTGGCCTCCATCATGCTGTCCCCGACGGACCAGGTGAGCAGCACCGTGGAGGCCTCTGTGGGGCCCTCTGTGGGGCCCTCTGTGGGGCTCCTGGAGGAGCCTGTGAGTCTGGACTTCGGTGCGATGCTGGAGGACTATGACCAGGGCAGCTTGGTGTCTGGGGTGCTCAGCCCCTCCATGTTCCAGGGTCTGTCCCGGACATCGTCCAGACTCACCACCCCCCACAGCTCCGTGGCCTACGGCCCCGTGGCCGCTGTGGCCCCTGTGGCCCCTGTGGCCCCTGGACTGAACAACATGGCCATAGGAGACATGAGTTCGCTGCTGTCCAGCCTGGCGGAGGAGAGCAGGTTCCTGTCCATCCTGCAGTAGTTTCCTCTCGGACACTGGTGGAAGTGAAGACTATTATCAAATGTTTATGAATTTATATGAAAACAATGATGTAAAAACAGGCCGCTGCCAAAACATATATTTTGTAAATTGTCATCCCACAGATCTGGGATGTGAGAAAGTGTAAATACAAATGTTTTATTCCTTTTATGGAATGAAGGCGTGAGTTTGTGAGTTTCTAAAACAGTATTGTCGTCCAGGACCACAGCACATAACTCTGTTACTGTATTTGTGAACGTTCTGTGCTTTACACTGTCCTCGCCGCACTCTCAAGACTGGTACTGCTCTGGTACTGCTCTGGTACTGCTCTGGTACTGCTCTGGTACTGCTCTGGTACTGCTCTGGTACTGGTGTGTCACTGGTACAGTATACATTCATACAGTGGTTCATTCTGTCCTGGACATTTGCTCTGACTGAAACTTTGGTGAGTCTTAAGGCCAAATACACACACACACACACATACAGACACACACACACACACACATACAGACACACACACACACATACAGACAGAGACACACACACAGACACAGACACACATACGGACACACACACACACACACACAGACACACACACACACAGAGACACACACACAGACACACACACACACAGACACACACACACACACAGACACCTTTAAATCTCTGACATCCTGCCGACTGCAGCAGATGGACAGTGTTGTAAACTGCAGTATTCAGTATTTTCTTTCCTCTCAGATGAGGTACTACTCTGGTACTACGCTGGTACTACGCTGGTACTACTCTGGTACTACGCTGGTACTACGCTGGTACTTCTCTGGTACTACTCTGGTACTACTCTGGTACTACTCTGGTACTACTCTGGTACTACGCTGGTACTACGCTGGTACTTCTCTGGTACTACTCTGGTACTACTCTGGTACTACTCTGGTACTACGCTGGTACTACGCTGGTACTTCTCTGGTACTACGCTGGTAATTCTCTGGTACTACGCTAGTACTATGTTTTCTTCTTCTAGTACTTCTTCAGATCGTGTTTTGTTTGGTGAATCATTTCCTTAAGAAAAAGGGAATTCCATTGAAACGTGTGCCTTATGTATCAGTAACTCGATCACTGCCAACCCACCAGTGTGAATTATGAACTGTACAGAAGCTAAAACGACATGTGGCATTTCGATGAGAGAAGTCGAGGTGCAAAAAGCATTGTTTTTGTTTTTTTACTTTGTGGTCACATGTATTTGTGCTTTTATACAATGTAAATACAGTATGTGTAGATTTAGCAGCTGATCAGAGGAGGATCATGGGGCCAGCACCACCAGAGAGCCACTTTTATAACACCAAATGTTTGTATTGTTTTAATAAAAAAAAACATGCAGAATTTTATGTCTCCGTCTTTTCAAACAAACATAATAAATGTGATTCAGAAAAGTTTATAAATGAAAACTTCAAACGCTCCTGAGTTTGGATATAAAGAAGCAAGTGTAAATATCTAACAAGAGCATAATAAAGAAGTATATAAGCTCTAACGTCAGCTTAATAAAGAAGTAAGTATGTATTATTAACATATTTTAATACACACAAAAATTAAATGACAAGTAACTGTAAACCTCCGTAACGTATAAGGACAGTCTGGACTATCTCTCTTCAATGGACCTTTTATTACGTTTAACAAAAGAGTGTGTGAAAATACGTGATTTTTTCAAAGCAAACTAGCTGAAATGAGACGTATAGACCGGTTAAAAAAAATTACTATTTAATTTATTTTCTTTTTTTTAATAAAGCTTAATAAAGAAGTGAAAAAAATCAAACGTTAGCTTATTTAAAAAGTATAAAATCTAACGTTAGCTTATTAAAGAAGTTTAGTCTGTTAGCTTAAAAAAGCAAGTATACAATCTAACATTAATTAAATTAATTTATTAATGAAGAAGAAAGCATAAAATCCAACGTTAGCTTAATAAAGAAGTAAAAAATCTAACGTTAGCTTAATAAAGAAGTATAAAATCTAATGTTAGCTTAATAAAGAAGGAAAAAAATCTAACGTTAGCTTAATAAAGAAGTATAAAATCTAACGTTAGCTTAATAAAGAAGTAAAAAAATCTAACGTTAGCTTAATAAAGAAGTAAAAAAATCTAACGTTAGCTTAATAAAGAAGTAAAAAATCTAACGTTAGCTTAATAAAGAAGTAAAAAAATCTAACGTTAGCTTAATAAAGAAGTAAAAAATCTAACGTTAGCTTAATAAAGAAGTAAAAAATCTAACGTTAGCTTAATAAAGAAGTAAAAAATCTAACGTTAGCTTAATAAAGAAGTATAAAATCTAACGTTAGCTTAATAAAGAAGTATAAAATCTAACGTTAGCTTAATAAAAAAAGTATAAAATCTAACGTTAGCTTAATAAAGAAGTATAAAATCTAACGTTAGCTTAATAAAGAAGTAAAAAATCTAACGTTAGCTTAATAAAGAAGTATAAAATCTAACGTTAGCTTAATAAAGAAGTAAAAAAATCTAACGTTAGCTTAATAAAAAAGTATAAAATCTAACGTTAGCTTAATAAAGAAGTAAAAAATCTAACGTTAGAAGAAGTAAAAAATCTAACGTTAGCTTAATAAAGAAGTAAAAAATCTAACGTTAGCTTATAAAAAAGTGTAAAATCTAACGTAAGCTTAATAAAAAAGTATAAAATCTAACGTTAGCTTATAAAAAAGTAAAAAATCTAACGTTAGCTTAGTAAAAAAGTAACCAATCAAACGTTAGCTTGTATGTTTACATCTGTATGTGTTAGCAGAATGAGGGACAAAGTGACACATGTGGTTCTATATTATTTCACTTTATTAGTTAAAATCATTGACATATTCTGTCTATGGTTAAAACGAAGACACCGCTCAGAGAACGTGCTTCAGCTGCCCCCTGCTGGCGAACACGTCACATTACACCCAGCGTTATGCACAAACTTGAAATGTTTTTGTACTTTTTCTTCCCCCCCGCGCGGGCCACATCTGTCAAACCCACAACACACGAGTCAGACCCCGTCATCTCTCTGTCAGACACGGTCAAACTGCTCTGGTTCACTCTGATCCGCTGCAAGAGGATGTGGACCTTGCGTCATGCTTTATGCTCCTGAAGAAAAATGTGGAAATTACTGCAGTTTCTTCCACAAAATGTTGAAATCCTGTCGCGTGCGTGAAGCTGAACGTGTGAAATAAACTTGGAGAAAAACGCAGATATCTGTAAAGTTTTATAAAATGATTGGATACAAGTATTATTAGTATTTAGACCTGTTCCTATAATGTGACAGTTTAAATACCAGGGGTCGGTGAGATGGGCTTTGACATTAAATCTTCCGCCTTATCCGCTGCCGTCTTCAGCAGCAGTCTTCACAGTGACGCCCAGACGTCCCTCTCCACACACTTTCAGCTCATCTGGGGGAATCCCGAGGTGTTCCCAGGCCATGGTCTCCTTCCGGTGGCACATGTCCAGAATAATTCCCCAGAGAGACATCCAGGTGGCATCCCAAACAAACCTGAGCCCCCTCCACTGGTTCCACTCTACGTTAGAGAAGAAGCGGCTCTACTCCGAGCTCCTCCCCCCCATCTCTAAGGGAGCACCCAGCCACTCTGCAGAGGAAGCTCATGTGGATTTTGTCCTTTCTGTCATTACCATGAGCTCAGGACCAGAGGTGAGGGAGGGGATGGAGCAGATACAGCTCTGACTGCAGACGCTGCTCCCTCTTCAGCACAACTTTGACATTACAACCTGTGATATCCTTGTTTGTGCGACAAATCAGATCATGTTACATTTATCATATATAGAAATTGGCTCAAAAGATTTTACTAAAGTTTAGTGAGAAGCAACTCAACAGAATCTACATTTTGCTACACATTTGGTTCATTTTACTTCAACTCTTAACATTTCTGGAACAATGTTTTAAATGTGCCAGACACTCCTCCTTGAGCTAAAAAAGAAACCATTGGAAACATTTGCACAATTGAAAACATTTTATTACTAAAAAAACGTTGTGAACTGAAGGTGGCCTCAGCGGCATTTCCACATCTATCGTTTATTTAAATCACCAGAGATCGCAACAAATCAGAGATCGCCGTCACCATGGAGACAGACCGTACAGAGGTGATGGGGGATATTTACAGGGACCTTTGCGTTGGGCTCGACGGGAGGCACTTGAGTCGACGAGCTCCGATCTTTCTACTTCCTGCGGTTTGTTTCCATTTGTTTGTGTTGAACCACAAGACACGGACACATTTACAAAGCATTTACAGAGGCCCGCGACACGCCAGACTGAAGCAACCATGGGTTAAAAAACACAGGATTGTTAGAGCGAAAGTATTTACACGACAACAATGGGAAGTGGTTGTGTGTCTGTGTCTATCTGTATCTGGGTGGTTGTGTGTCTGTGTCGTGTGTGTTTCTCTGCGGTTGTGTGTCTGTGCTACCGTTAAATCATCTGAATTTACAAATAAAAGCCTCTCTCTCCGTTTGTCTCAGTTTCTCCTGGATGAAGGGGTGCTGCAGGCCCTCTCCTCTCCTCCCCCTCAGAGTTTCTCCTGGATGAAGGGGTGCTGCAGGGCCTCTCCTCTCCTCCCCCTCAGAGTTTCTCCTGGATGAAGGGGTGCTGCAGGGCCTCTCTTCTCCTCCCCCTCAGAGTTTCTCCTGGATGAAGGGGTGCTGCAGGGCCTGGTTGATGCTGATGCGTTTGGCTGGGTCCAGCATCAGGGTCTGGTCCAGTAAGTCCTTCAGTTGCATCACCTTCTTGCGCTGGTCCTCAGGGAGGCGCTGACCTCCCACCATGTCCGAGAGGAGGTCCTTGGTCGGGTTCAGGGTGCTCATGACTGTCACCTTCTCCTGCGGGGGAGAGGAGAGGAGGTGTGAGAGAGGAGAGGAGAGGAGGTGTGAGAGAGGAGAGGAGGGGAGGTGAGAGGTGTGAGGAGAGGAGAGGTGTGAGAGAGGAGAGGAGGGGAGGTGAGAGGTGTGAGGAGAGGAGAGGAGGGGAGGTGAGAGGTGTGAGGAGAGGAGAGGAGAGGTGTGAGAGAGGAGAGGAGAGGAGGTGTGAGAGAGGAGAGGAGAGGAGGTGTGAGAGAGGAGAGGAGAGGAGGTGTGAGAGAGGAGAGGAGAGGAGGTGTGAGAGAGGAGAGGAGAGGAGGTGTGAGAGAGGAGAGGAGAGAGGTGTGAGGAGAGGAGAGGAGAGGAGAGGAGGTGAGAGGTGTGAGAAAAGAGGAGATTCTGACGATCAGATGTTCTTTTTGCTAACACAGGCTCTGCAGTGATCCATGAGTCCAGGGCTGTCAGACTGACTTCAGAGAGAGACCAGGTGGACATGTGTGTCTTACCCTCTGTCACTTCAGAGAGAGACCAGGTGGACATGTGTGTCTTACCCTCTGTCACTTCAGAGAGAGACCAGGTGGACATGTGTGTCTTACCCTCTGTCACTTCAGAGAGAGACCAGGTGGACATGTGTGTCTTACCCTCTGTCACTTCAGGGAGAGACCAGGTGGACATGTGTGTCTTACCCTCTGTCACTTCAGAGAGAGACCAGGTGGACATGTGTGTCTTACCCTCTGTCACTTCAGAGAGAGACCAGGTGGACATGTGTGTCTTACCCTCTGTCACTTCAGGGAGAGACCAGGTGGACATGTGTGTCTTACCCTCTGTCCCTTCAGAGAGAGACCAGGTGGACATGCGTGTCTTACCCTCTGTCACTTCAGAGAGAGACCAGGTGGACATGTGTGTCTTACCCTCTGTCCCTTCAGAGAGAGACCAGGTGGACATGTGTGTCTTACCCTCTGTCCCTTCAGAGAGAGACCAGGTGGACATGTGTGTCTTACCCTCTGTCCCTTCAGAGAGAGACCAAGTGGACATGTGTGTCTTACCCTCTGTCACTTCAGAGAGAGACCAAGTGGACATGTGTGTCTTACCCTCTGTCACTTCAGAGAGAGACCAGGTGGACATGCGTGTCTTACCCTCTGTCACTTCAGAGAGAGACCAAGTGGACATGTGTGTCTTACCCTCTGTCACTTCAGAGAGAGACCAGGTGGACATGTGTCTTACCCTCTGTCACTTCAGAGAGAGACCAGGTGGACATGTGTCTTACCCTCTGTCACTTCAGGGAGAGACCAGGTGGACATGTGTGTCTTACCCTCTGTCACTTCAGAGAGAGACCAGGTGGACATGTGTCTTACCCTCTGTCACTTCAGAGAGAGACCAGGTGGACATGTGTGTCTTACCCTCTGTCCCTTCAGAGAGAGACCAGGTGGACATGTGTGTCTTACCCTCTGTCACTTCAGAGAGAGACCAGGTGGACATGTGTGTCTTACCCTCTGTCACTTCAGAGAGAGACCAGGTGGACATGTGTGTCTTACCCTCTGTCACTTCAGAGAGAGACCAGGTGGACATGTGTGTCTTACCCTCTGTCCCTTCAGAGGAGAGACCAGGTGGACATGTGTCTTACCCTCTGTCACTTCAGAGAGAGACCAGGTGGACGTGTGTCTTACCCTCTGTCACTTCAGAGAGAGACCAGGTGGACATGTGTGTCTTACCCTCTGTCACTTCAGAGAGAGACCAGGTGGACATGTGTGTCTTACCCTCTGTCACTTCAGGGAGAGACCAGGTGGACATGTGTCTTACCCTCTCTGTCACTTTGTCCACTTCGATGTAGAGGAAGTTGAGGTTTTGGTCGAAGTGCTGGTCTTTGAAGAGGCCTTTACGGATCATCTGCAACAGATCAACATTCAGTCATTTATCACGTCCCAGACTCAAGGCGCGTTCAGACCAAAAGCTTCAAAAAGCTTTTGACGCGCTTCAACTGACGCCGGGATAGTTTTGTCATTTTGGTGCTTGAAGCTTTTGGCGCGAGTGACGCGCCTGACGCCGGTGGGAGGAGCTTCTCTGTTGTCTGTAGTCAGGGCAGCGGTGGATTTGTCAATGAGCAGCGAGCCTTTATTTGTTATATAAAGCAAAATAACGTTGTTGTAGGGCTTCAACAAAACATGTTCTGGGTTCACCACAGACTTGAGAGGCTGCAGTGTTTGCAGAGTTCCGTCATTTACTCCAGGAGCTGCGTACGGAGGAGTTTCGCTTTCAGCGGTACTTCCGCATGTCACTTGCCCAGTCTGAGTTCTCAAACCCCGGAGCTCGCCTCTCCCGGCTCTCGCTCGCCTCTCCCTGCCTCTCCTCGGCTCTCGCTCGCCTCTCCCTGCCTCTCCTCGGCTCTCGCTCGCCTCTTCCTGCCTCTCCCCGGCTCTCGCCCGCCCGGAGCTGCCTTGCTCTGAGCCAGACTCATCGTCAGCCTGTTCTTATATTAAATAAACTACGTTTACTACACAGCATGTGTACAATGATTTTTGTTACTCAGAACGTTACTACTCATACAAATAATATTACTAATAACAATAATGACAATAAAACAGCAGCAGCAGATACATGACTTCTCTTCATGACAGAGACAGACCCTCTGCTGCTGCTGCTCCTCGTCTCCTGATTGGTTGAAGCCCGCGTCAAAGCTTCAAAAGCTCAGCTTTGCTCAACTTCGGCGTCAAAGGGATTGTTTTGATACGCGAGCAATTCGCGCGTCAAAAGCTTCAAGTGAGCGCGTAGTACGCGCGACTCTTGAAGCTTTTGACGCGCGTCAAGTGACGCCGGGGCTCTCGGCTTCACCTGACGCGCTTCACCATTCACTTTCAATGGAAACCTGACGCTTTTGACGCCGAAGTTAAGTCCGGTGTGAACGCCCCTTCAGGCTGCTGCAGAGACACACATCAGACAGACACAACACACAACACAGAGACACACACATACACCATCACCAGGAAGAGGACGGGTTAGGTCTGTGTGTGTCTCTGTGTGTGTGTCTCTGTGTGTGTGTGTCTCTGTGTGTGTGTCTGTGTGTGTCCAGGTTAGTGTGTACCTTGTTGGGCATCTTCCCCTTCAGGTCCATGGCCAGTTTGAGCATGTGGTTGTTGGAGGATCCCGGCAGAAGGATCTTCCCGGTGTAAAGCTCGTACAGAGTGCAGCCCACGGACCACATGTCGATGCCATAGTCGTACGGTTTCCCTATGACTGAGGGGAGGGAGGGGGGAGGGAGGGGGGAGGGGAGGGGGGAGAGCATTATTGACATTTTATTGCCATGTGAGTAACAGGAAGTCACAAACTAGGAAGAGGACAAAAGCAGGTGTTCGTACCGATCTCTGGGGCGCGGTAGAAGCGGCTGACGAGGTACGGCGTGATGTCGTTGTCGGCCACGTGGGAGGCGGAGCCAAAGTCACACAACTTCAAGATGGTCTTCGACTCATTCACCTGGAAATACACCAGAGAGAGCGATCGATATACGTGTGTGTGTCCGTGTGCGTTACCAGGATGTTGGTATGTGTGTGCGTTACCAGGATGTTGGTATGTGCGTGTGTGTGTATGTGTGTGCGTTACCAGGATGTTGGTATGTGCGTGTGTGTGTATGTGTGTGCGTTACCAGGATGTTGGCGTGTGTGTGTGTGTGTGTGTGCGTTACCAGGATGTGTGTGTGTGTGTGTTACCAGGATGTGTGTGTGTGTGTGTTACCAGGATGTGTGTGTGTGTGTGTGTTACCAGGATGTGTGTGTGTGTGTGTGTGTTACCAGGGTGTGTGTGCACTTGTTTTCAACTCCTGGTGGGTTCCATAACCTGAGATTCCACTCACGTCATGGGGACTGGTTTTACGTGGTGGGGCCCGAACACCGGACCCCACTGGTCCAAGCTTAATAATCAATGGGTAATGCTTTTCTAACGGTCCTTATGCAGTCTCTGTAAAAATATGGAAAGGACCCCTGGAGGTTTACTTTCCTGAAAAAAGTGTGTTATGTGTCGGAACCCTGGTGGTGGGTTGCGGGATATCAAGGAGGGGCACACTGGGGCAATTTCAGTCCAGCAGGCTGGAGCCAATCATGGAGCAGCACAACAGAGGAAATCAGGTGTCAGGCTAGAAAAGGTGCAAGTGTGTGGTTCATTAGGCTGCAAGAAATCATGGAGGAGCACACTGAAGCGCACGCTTACAAACCACTGGTAAGTGCTGACTACAAGTCATGACTTCAAATTGTTATATAGAATGATTACAAATTATTTGTTGTTTGTGCAGCTTAGTCAAGAGTCCCTAATTGATGAAGTCGACTCAGATTCTGACGATTTAACTGTCAAGAAGAAACCTGTAAAAAAGTATGGAAAAAGAAAAATCAAAAACACTTTTCTTCAAGACTCGGAAAGTGACGAACCAAAGGCAAATAAGATTGTTATCATGCAGCTGCAAAAGAAGAAAAATGGGGGGCGAGTATACAGCAAGAGACACTTCTGCCTCTACTGTTCAATGTCCTGCCACAAAATGTCCCGTCATTTGACTAGAAAACATGGAAATGAAAGTGACGTAGCCAGAGCATTGGCTCTACCTGTGAAATCTAAAGCACGTAAACTTCAGTTTGATTTGATCAGGAATAGTGGAAACCGTGAGCACAATTTTGAGGTTTTAAAGGCCGGCATTGGAACTTTAGTCCCAGCTAAACAGCCAAATTCCCCAGTTAAATCCAGTGAGTTTTTGCACTGTATAGACTGTGGGGCATTGCTTAAGCGAAAGTCGCTGTGGAGGCATGTGGCCAGGTGCCGGCTTTCACAGAAAGATGCCCAGGCTAAACCAGGCTAAACCAGGTAGAAGTAGGGTCCAGTCCCTCTGCTCCCTAGCCCAGCCTGTACCGGAGGGCATCAGCAAAAAGCTGTGGTCTTTAATTTCGGCAATGCATCAGGATGAGGTCACGGGTGTTGTCAAAGCAGAAAAGGGGATTCTGAGACTCGGAGAGCACCTGTACTTAAAACACGGGCATGATAAGACAAAGCATGATTACATTAGGCAGAAAATGAGAGAAGTCGGTAGGTTAATTAACGAAGCAAAAACCGCAGGGAAACTGAAAACAATTAAGGATTTCTTTATTCCTTCCAACTTTAACCATGTGATTGATGCAGTCAGGTCTGTGGCTGGATATGATGAGGAAACAAATCAATACAAGACTCCATCCTTGGCCCTCAAACTCGGCCATAGCCTCAGAAAGCTAGCAGATATTCTTGAATGTGACTCAAAAATGGAGCATTGTGTTGATGAACTATTTATTAAAAACCTCCAACGAAGCCGGCTGCTTTTTGAGAAGAGGTGGGACGTCTGTGTTTCTTCTGCTGCCCTACAGACCCTCCGGCAAGCCAAGTGGAACACTCCGGACCTGCTCCCTCTGACTGAGGACGTTAGAGCCATGCATGCACATATTGAGGTATGTCGACCTGAATATGTGCAAACCCTAATAAGTGAGCCAACGTCTAAGCATTGGTCTAAACTGGCAGTTTTGACTCTTTGTGAGGTCATCATTTTCAATCGAAGAAGGGAAGGTGAGGTTTCAAAGATGCCACTGACAGCCTTTACCTTAAGAAGTAAGACTGGGATCCATTCTGACATTGCTCTGGGACTGTCCCAACTTGAGAAAAAGCTGTGTCAGCATTTTCAACGCATTGAAATTAAAGGGAAAAGAAGTGGGAAAGTGCCGGTTCTTTTGACTCCTGAAATGATTGCTTCGATGGAGGTGCTGGTGGAGAACAGAAGGGCCTGTTCCATCTCTGACCATAACCCATACTTCTTTTCCCGCCCGGGCGCAGACACCCACATCAGGGGATCAGACTCCCTACGCCAGGTAGCCAAAGAATGTGGTGCGGTGCATCCAGAGATGCTATCCTCAACCAAACTTAGAAAGCACATAGCTACTATGTCTACAGTTCTCAATATGAAAGAGAATGAGATGGACATACTTGCCAACTTCCTCGGCCATGACATTCGCATCCACAGACAATATTACAGACTACCAGAGGGGACACTGGAGCTGGCCAAAATCAGCAAAGTGTTGATGGCCATGGAGCAGGGAAGAGTGACGGAATTCGAAGGAAAGAGCCTCGACCAGATACAAATTGAGCCTGAAGGTAATTCTTGATATTATTAAAATATGTATGATTTTTTTCCCCTAAAGGCCACTTGTATTTTTATTTTCTGTGCGACAGGGAGAGCAGTAGAGATCCTCTCACAAACGGACGGGCTAAAAGAAACTTCAAGCGGAGAACCTTCAACCATTCATCCAGATGCACCCCATGGTAGTGGCAGTGCCCCTTCTGGTAAGTGTACCAGGTGGGGGATTACAGCCAGGCTGCTTGGTCCTCACCCTGGGAGTGTATATTGCTAATATATTTTTATTTCTCTCCCTAGAACGTTAGAGAAAGCCATGGTCTGCATCTGAGGTGAAGGCTGTGGAGAAGACCATGACACCTTTCATACAGACTGGAAAGGTCCCTGGGAAGTCTCACTGCCTGGCCTGCATTAATGCCTCACCAGATGACCTTAGACATCGGACATGGAGTGGCATTAAATTCTATGTCAAAAATAGAATCACTGCAATTCGAAAACAAAATCTAAAATAAAATTCCTTTAAAATAGTTGTTTGGTTTCTATTGACTGTTTTGTATTACTTAAAGTCTTGGTAAAAAAAGATTATGTCTATGGGTCCCATTCTGAACGGCCCTGTCAAAGGGACCCACCAGGTAACAAAAACGTGTATGTGTGGGTGTGTGTGTGTTACCAGGATGCGTGTGTGTGTGTGTGTGTTACCAGGATGTGTGTGTGTGTGTGTGTGTGTTACCAGGATGTGTGTGTGTGTGTGTGTGTGTGTGTGACCAGGATGTGTGTGTGTTACCAGGATGTGTGTGTGTGACCAGGATGTGTGTGTGTGTGTGTGTGTGTTACCAGGATGTTGTCAGGTTTGATGTCCGCGTGGAGGATGTTGCATCTCTTCAGAAGCTTCAGAGCGAGGAACAGCTGCTGACTGTAGGAGCGAACAGCCTTAATGTGAAGACCTACGTCTTTACCGTACTTCTTCAGGACCTCACGGAGGTTCATGCTGAGGGAGGAGGAGCAGAGGGGGGAGGAGCAGAGGGAGGAGGAGGAGCAGAGGGAGGAGGAGGAGCAGAGGGAGGAGGAGAAGTCAGAACCACAGATACACAGAACTCTACATCAGTGCACTATCCCCATGGAAACAGTGCAGATATTGACTTGTCACATAATCAACACTGAAACCAAAGGTGTCGTTAGAGACTGTTAGCAGAGTGTGTTGTTGGCACAGTGTAGAGTGTGTTGGCACAGTGTAGAGTGTGTTGGCACAGTGTAGAGTGTGTTGTTGGCACAGTGTAGAGTGTGTTGTTGGCACAGTGTAGAGTGTGTTGTTGGCACAGTGTAGAGTGTGTTGTTGGCACAGTGTAGAGTGTGTTGTTGGCACAGTGTAGAGTGTGTTGTTGGCACAGTGTAGAGTGTGTTGTTGGCACAGTGTAGAGTGTGTTGTTGGCACAGTGTAGAGTGTGTTGTTGGCGCAGTGTAGAGTGTGTTGTTGGCACAGTGTAGAGTGTGTTGTTGGCACAGTGTAGAGTGTGTTGTTGGCACAGTGTAGAGTGTGTTGTTGGCACAGTGTAGAGTGTGTTGTTGGCACAGTGTAGAGTGTGTTGTTGGCACAGTGTAGAGTGTGTTGTTGGCACAGTGTAGAGTGTGTTGTTGGCACAGTGTAGAGTGTGTTGTTGGCACAGTGTAGAGTGTGTTGTTGGCACAGTGTAGAGAGTGTTGGCACAGTGTAGAGAGTGTTGTTGGCACAGTGTAGAGTGTGTTGGCACAGTGTAGAGTGTGTTGGCACAGTGTAGAGTGTGTTGTTGGCACAGTGTAGAGTGTGTTGGCACAGTGTAGAGTGTGTTGGCGCAGTGTAGAGTGTGTTGTTGGCGCAGTGTAGTGTGTGTTGTTGGCGCAGTGTAGAGTGTGTTGTTGGCGCAGTGTAGAGTGTGTTGTTGGCACAGTGTAGAGTGTGTTGTAGAGTGTGTTGTTGGCGCAGTGTAGAGTGTGTTGTTGGCGCAGTGTAGAGTGTGTTGTTGGCACAGTGTAGAGTGTGTTGGCACAGTGTAGAGTGTGTTGGCACAGTGTAGAGTGTGTTGGCACAGTGTAGAGTGTGTTGTTGGCACAGTGTAGAGTGTGTTGGCACAGTGTAGAGTGTGTTGTTGGCACAGTGTAGAGTGTGTTGTTGGCACAGTGTAGAGTGTGTTGGCACAGTGTAGAGTGTGTTGTTGGCACAGTGTAGAGTGTGTTGTTGGGCACAGTGTAGAGTGTGTTGTTGGCACAGTGTAGAGTGTGTTGTTGGCACAGTGTAGAGTGTGTTGTTGGCACAGTGTAGAGTGTGTTGTTGGCACAGTGTAGAGTGTGTTGTTGGCACAGTGTAGAGTGTGTTGGCACAGTGTAGAGTGTGTTGGCACAGTGTAGAGTGTGTTGTTGGCACAGTGTAGAGTGTGTTGTTGGCACAGTGTAGAGTGTGTTGGCACAGTGTAGAGTGTGTTGGCACAGTGTAGAGTGTGTTGTTGGCACAGTGTAGAGTGTGTTGTTGGCACAGTGTAGAGTGTGTTGGCACAGTGTAGAGTGTGTTGGCACAGTGTAGAGTGTGTTGTTGGAACAGTGTAGAGTGTGTTGTTGGCACAGTGTAGAGTGTGTTGTTGGCACAGTGTAGAGTGTGTTGTTGGCGCAGTGTAGAGTGTGTTGTTGGAACAGTGTAGAGTGTGTTGTTGGCACAGTGTAGAGTGTGTTGTTGGCAACAGTGTAGAGTGTGTTGTTGGCGCAGTGTAGAGTGTGTTGTTGGCACAGTGTAGAGTGTGTTGTTGGCACAGTGTAGAGTGTGTTGTTGGCACAGTGTAGAGTGTGTTGTTGGCACAGTGTAGAGTGTGTTGTTGGCACAGTGTAGAGTGTGTTGTTGGCACAGTGTAGAGTGTGTTGTTGGCACAGTGTAGAGTGTGTTGTTGGCACAGTGTAGAGTGTGTTGGCGCAGACCTGAGCGGCTCGAACACCAAACACAGATGCTGTTTGTGGTAGAAGTGTCTGAAGAGTCGCAGACAGTGGAACTTATCGTCAGGATCAGCATCGTTCAGTTTCTTCAGGAACTCCAGCTCCTTCAGCCCTGTCTTCTGCCTAAAGACACACAACAGTGTGAGTCTGAGGAGGCTGTGCGTGTCTCTGTGTGTGTGTGTCTCCGAGTGTGTTGCAGCAGTGGACTCACATGAGCTCGTTGTTGCGGATGATCTTGACCGCCACCTCCTGGCCGGCCCTTGCCGTGTCTCGCGCCCTCACCACGTTACTGAACACGCCCTGTCCCGTGTAGCCGTACACGTCGTAGCGTTTGTCCAGACTCTCTCCGATGTTCACTCCTGAAACAGCAACAACACAACGATTACAGAGAGCACATCACCCCGAGAACAGCCTCACTCACAAACACTATCCACCATAATTAGCAAAAAGAATGTATAAAAAAAAAAAAATCAGGATTTTCTGCATATTTTTGTCTCAGTTTGTCTCTGGTGGAGGTAAACCTTTGGTGACAATTACAGACTGAAGTGGGAGGACTAAGGTGTGTGTGTGTATGTTTGTGTGCGTGTGTGTCAGTCGTACTGTAGTAGCCCTCAGCATCCGTCCAGTTGTCCCTGAGGTTGGGGTTCTCCTTGAAGTCTTTTCCAACGCCGGCTCGCATCCGGGCGCTCTGCACACAACCACACAACACGGTTACACACAGAAATACAGTGTGTATATGCAGCTCGTGTGTGTGTGTGTGTGTGTTACAGATGTGTTGACTTTTTGTCTAGTTTTTGTATTGCATGTCCTTGTACCTCCCATAGATGGCACTGTACTATAATTGTACGTCTTCATAATTTAAGTTTTTAAGTTTGTGTGTGTGTGTGTGTGTGCGTGTATATGCGTGCATGTGGGGACACTCACATCGAAGTCTGCGTTGAACATGTCGTCAGACTCGGTGAACATGTCGGGGGCCGAGGGTTTCTTGGGGTTGGCTCCTGAAACACAGACACAGGTGAGAGAGCGGTCAGACGGCTGTCCTCAGATTCATGTTCGAGGCACATACTCTGCACAGAGCGACACCTGTGGAATGCCCCCAGGAGCCACTCAGGCAGCCGGGCTTTGGACTCAAGCTGAACACATGAGAGAGAAGAGCATTAAGCAGGCACCACCTCACAGACGCCTGCCCTGTCACAGATCCACCTCCCTCTGTCCCAGGGGAGGGCAAACCAGTCCTGAGAGGGCGGGGCTAGAACCAGACTCCGCCCATTTCCTCAGGTGGGTCCAGTTTTAACCTGAAGATTTGAGGAAATGGGCGGAGTCTGTGTGCTCCGGCTCGGGTTGGAACTTAAACCTGCAGCTTACACTAAGGCTTAGAAGGTTATTTTAGTAAGAGAAAACATGTAAAGAAGCTAGTACTGCTTAATTTAGCTTCTTTACTGATTTTGTCTCATTAAAAACTTTATAAGCCTTAAAAATAAGTAGACAAAATGAACTTATTACATGTTCTGCCCTTTGAGGAGCGGCTTGCCCACCACTGGTCTATTCTGTGAGATAGAATAACGACAGTAGCCCGGTAACACAACGGCTAAAGACGTTCTCACTGTTTTTATAGAATCTACACATTCCTCTGATCTCTAAGCGGCTCAGGAACAACACTGAGCTGAATGAAAATCAAAGCGGATGTAAAGTAAGGGTCTTGTATTAATTTAAGGCTATAATTAGCTTTTCATTTTGATCGATTAGTTTGTCGTTGATTCTTTTGATTATACAGACATATATTACAGGTAGTCGTTATAGAAACCAAAATCTCAGTCATAATAGGATATTGTTTATATTTTTTGCAACAGTCACACGTCGGGGAAAACCTGCTAAGAAGTACAGATTATGGCTGAGAAATCTTTATTTGCTGCAGCACACACTGTTTTAGTGAGAAGATGGGAAATTGTGTTCTGCAGGTTTGAAAAAAATCATAGTTGAGATTAGCTTGCATTGTACAGCCCCAAATTAATAATTGGTGATCAGCTAATCATTCCTCCATATTGATACGTCAAACCTCTCACATCAAAATTCCCAAAGGAGTCTACTCTGGCCCCATGAGACCCTCCTGTGGATCACATGTCAGACACTCAGGCTGCAGTAGGAGGCCTCGTACCTTCCTTCTCCTGGTTGATGAGGTTGTGCTTGGCCTTGATGCTGGCCTCAAACGTGTTGATGTTCTCGCGCTCATACTCCTTCACGTCGGCGGCGGCTCGCTCCAGGATGTCGTCAGGAGACGGCGAGCGGCTGCGGCTGCTGCTCTGGGGGCTGTTGGCTTCAGACGCCATGTTGGAGTCTTCGTTCTGCACCTTGTACTTCTGCAAACAGGACGACAGGACACACACTAACACTCAGAGTGGTGGAATATGTGTGTGTGTGTGTGTGTGTTTGTGTGTGTGCGTAGTGTGTGTGTATGTTTGAGGAGGGAGATGTAACCAAACCTGAACTATGGCCAAACGCTGCTGTCTGCGTTGTTCAATCAGAGCCTCTTCATCCACTTCCTCTCCTTCAAAGTCGTCGAGCCTTGTATAATACATCATATAAATATTATACACACACACACACACGTGTTTCGGAGCCGGTCTGATGTCAGCGTTGAAGCGCCCACACATTACTCACACGTCCTCTCCTGAAGACTCCTGCTCCACCTTCATTCCCTCAGACAGACTTCCTTTGAACTTGTCTTCGTCGCGGCTGCGTCTCCTCCTGCGGTCTCGGAGACGGTCTCGGTCCCGGCCTCGGGACATGGACCTCCTGTACTGTCTGGGCCTGCCGTACCGGTCCCTCTCGATGGATCTGTCATTTCAAATGAATGAGTGTTACATGATCACGTTACAAACGGCTGCTACACTGTGTGTGTGAGTGTGTGTTCACCTGTGCCTGAGCGGAGACCGGCTCCTGCGGCGAGGAGAGGAGCGAGAGCGTCGCCGTGGAGACGGGGACCTCCTCCTCAAAGGAGAGCGGCTCGGCCGGCGGCGAGCGGCTGCTGCTCTGGGACTGACCTCTCTGGAGCGGTCTCTAACAGAGCCCACATCTGCACGAGCACGCTTCCTGAAACACCAGCAGACAACACAATAAGCCACAGGATCATGACGGGGCAAAAACAAAAGTGAAAGTATCAGAGTCGATGTGTTTGTTAAAGTAAGAGTGCACAGTGCTCAGAGGCTGTCACTCACCTGGAGGGAGACTCCTGCCGCTCCTCTCTCCTCCTGGTGTCTGCTGATCGGCTGCGTGCTCTGCGGGGGGGCGAGCGTGTCCTGGTGGGGGAGGTCTGTTTGGAGGCACGCTCAGAGGCGCTGGATGCGGGGTGAGTGTCCCGGTGTCGAGGTGACGTGCTGGGCTTCTTGGCCGGGCTCGCCGTGCGTCTGTGTGGAGAGCGGTTCTCTTTTCCAGATGAAGTGTCCTTTGACGGAGACTTGGCCGGTCGTTTGTCCCGATCGGACTCAGAGCGGCTGGGCCGGTCTCTCCCTGTGGACCTGGACCTCCGGCTTCGGTCGTCTCTGGTGGGAGAGGAGCGCTTGTCGTTGCGGACGCCTTTGGGCTCCGCTCTGGAGGGAGACACTCGGCTGCGGTCCTTGGAGCGGTCAGTGCTTTCAGAGAGCTTTCTCTCTCGTGATCGGCTTCTGTCTCTGCCTTTGTCTTTGGTGCCCGTGTCCTTGGCGCTTTTCGAAGCTTTGTCTCTCGCTTCTTTCTGTGGTCTGTCTGCAGACTTGCTGCGACTGCGGCGCTTGGACTTGACCGTCTCAGGAGTGTCCCGTTTAGATCTGGTGCTTTTGCTGCCTCTGGGCGACGCCACTTTCCCTGAACCGCCCTTTTGTCTCTGCTCTCCGTTCCTTAAGCGAGCCTCGGGGTCCTCCTCAGAGCCGGAGTTATAGCCCTGAAGGATGAGGCCCATCCCCGACTGCACCTTCCCCTCCATCATCTGACTGTCCAGCTCTGCTTTGATCATGGCCCTCTGCTTCTCCAGGTCCTCCAGCAGAGCCCGGTCATCCAGGCTGGGGGTCCCTGAGGGGGACTCTGTCTTTCTTTGGGCCGCAGCTGGAGATCCCTCTTTACGTTTGTGTTTGCGGTGCTTGTGCCGGTGCTTCTTCTTCCGCTCCTTGTCTTCATCAGAGGCGTGTTTGTGCTTTTTGTGTTTGCTGCGATGTTTGTGTTTCTTCTTTTTGTGTTTCCCGCTGCCGCTGCTGTGACGTTTACTGCCCACCGCCTCCGGTTTCTCTCCGTTGGTCTCAGCCTCCTCCTGTTACAGATACAAGCAGAGTCTTATTTTACTTTAATTAAGTAATTATTACATTCATATAAACATGAGGTTATTCATGACAGGAGTATTATAATGAAGTGATCCAAACCTCTTCATCCTCCTCCTCCTCGGAAACACCACCACTGTCATCATTACCACTTTGCTCCTGGATTTCTACATCTTCCTTCCTGCAACATTAGAAAAATAGGGTTAGTCTATAAATATGATGACATCTTTATAAGAAACAGCATCATAATAAAACAGAAGCCAAAGTGTGTTTTCTGTCTGATAAACACGGATCCACAGGCACCTGTCTCATGTCATGATGTAACGCGTTAACAAACTTCAAAACTTACGCTAATATCACTTTAACATGTCTAATAACAAACTGAAAACACGCTGCGAGCTCTTGGTAAACCTCGGATCGCCTTGTTTTCTGTTGTTTGTGAGGTTTTACAGGAAGAGTCCGTCTGCACAGCACCTGCTCCGCACCAGCCCGTTAGCCCTGCTGCTAAAAGTGGAGGGTAAACTTGGAGCTAGGTGACACGGTTAGCTTTCAGCTGCATTAGCTTAGAGCCGGAACCACTGTGTCCATCCAAACACACATATGATCAAACAAACACTGCCGGGTACGCGTCCGGAGCGGTAACCATGGCAACATTCATCAGGAACAGACACCGTCACCACAGCGTAGTTTAGGAGTTAGCTCGTGGCTAAAGCTAACAGCATCATGAGCCACGGGAGCACACAGGCTAACCCCGGCCAGCGTGAGTCTCTCTGCGGTCCCAGGACCTCCGGGACACACCGGGGGCCCGCGGGGGGACAGACACTCTCCACCGGGACCTGACCCCAGAGACAGGACAATACTTACACGTGTTCGTTTCCATTATTCATTCTTCTGTCCACAGTCACATCCACCTCCACGTCCGCCATTTTCCCAGTCAGGACTTCTTCTACGACTGCGCCGCTGCTGGATTATAGTGCCCATGTCTGTGCTGCGCCCCCGGAGGCCTGGAGGGTACATAACAGCTGCGCATGACCTACTTAGTCCACAAGAGGACGCTATTGTTCCATAGAAAAAGACAAGTACGATCACTGTGTATGTATTTCAATCATGCCTTTCTTATAAACAATAAGAAACAATAAATGTTGATTCATGAATGTATTTTGCCTTGAGAAACAAACCCTTGTGCCAGTATTTGTCATTAGTTTCCATTAAATATTTGAGAGAATAGATAGACAGATGGATACATACTTTATTGATCCCTGCAGGATATTTTCCGGTGTCCAGCAGCAGAAACAGTTACTACATTTATCCAGAAAGCTGTTTTTGTCATTATTTTTAGTATCAATTCTAACTCTCTACATCGATTGACAACCCTAGTTCTTATTATTTACCAGCTCATATATCAAGATTTATGATCACTGTGGAAAATATGTATTAGTTTTTGTTACACATTTATTCGTCACCTATATACTTCTAAAAAACAAACAAAAAGTGGCCAAGTTTTGTCACACATTGGTCACATTTTTATCCATAACATGTTGATCCCATGAAGACAATGTACGACTTCTGCAGATACATAGATAGAATGGTTTATGATACATTACTATTATACTGGTGGTTATTTACAAACACTACATAAGAACCTTGCGGCAAACAGATGTCATAAACCCGTTCATTCACTCATTCATTCATTCATTCACTCAGGCCGATCCTGCCGTCTCCTCTGTGCTTTGTTTAGATCTGAAGCTGAGGACAACATTACGAGCTGAAAGTGTTTTATGGAGCTCCACGCCTCGCCCTGAGCAGATGCTGCTGCAGACGACAGATGCAGACATTATTCTGTCTCCAGAGAGATGCAGGTTTAACAGTGGCTTCTGTGGACTTTGCTTCAGTATTTGTACATTTTAAAGGTTTCAAAGTGATACATATCCAGCACAACAGTAAACACAGTTCTTATACTGTAAATATAAACAGGATATAGAGATTCTTCTTTAGGATAAAAATGACAGAGAGCTTTATACTTTAGACCAGTGTTTTTGGTTTTAGTTTGGTGTGCCTTCAGCAATGATCCAATGTCAACTTTGATTTTTGAACGGACCTGTAAAGCATTTTACGACTTGTTTCATTGGCAAATTTAGTTTTAAGACCATCAAAAAGTTTACCAAATTTGGGCAATTTCTAACCATAATAACAGTCTGTGCATATGTTAAGACGTGAATGAACAACAAAACGAGGACTAAAAGTTAAAACAACAATATTAATGTTGTTATGAAAAGACATATTCAAGATTCAAGATTTGATTTGCTATTTGCAGTAAAACCACAGTGGAAAAACTGTGCAAGACTCCCCCAGTGTGCACCAGAAAGAGAAGATACTGCAAAAACAATGCCACAAAACCAAATCAATGTTATAAATGTAGGTTTGTAGATATGTGTGGGATAAACAGCTGATGGACTGACTTATGTATAAACTGATACTTTTTGCTTTTATCACCTTTGGAACTAGCTTTAGCTGAGTTTCAAAGTTTATCTGTGTTCAAAGGCTTACATCACTAGTGTCCTGTCACATGGCACACTGACCTCTTACCAAATCTACTGACGATAAGATATGGTTGTTTTTGTCCGGGAATGTTTACACTGCATTCTACACTAAAGAAGAAAGAATCAGAATCAGAATCATTTTTATTGCCACGTAAGTAACAGGAGGTCACAGACTAGGAAATTGCTTTGGCTCAGTGCAACAGTCAAAAAGAGATAATAAAAATAAGAATAAAAAACACTTCTAAAGAATAAGTTTAAATTTAAAATAGAGTTACAGTTACTATTTACAATATATAAGAAAGAACACATTTATAGATTCAGTCTTTGGGCAGATCGATATGGGACCATTCTGAGTCTGTTTTTGTTATGGAAATACTGTATGTCCGAGACTAAATTAAAGTTCTTTAGTACTGCTTAATCACCACATGTTTGGGTTGTTTCTGTCTGAGCAGAGACCAGAGAGAGATCAGAGAGAAACCAGAGAGAGACCAGAGAGAGACCAGAGAGAGACCAGAGAGAGACCAGAGAGAGACCAGAGAGAGACCAGAGAGAGACCAGAGAGAGACCAGAGAGAGACCAGAGAGACCAGAGAGAGACCAGAGAGAAACCAGAGAGAAATCAGAGAGAGAGACCAGAGAGAGACCAGAGAGAGACCAGAGAGAGACCAGAGAGACCAGAGAGAGACCAGAGAGAAACCAGAGAGAAATCAGAGAGACCAGAGAGAGACCAGAGAGAGACCAGAGAGAGATCAGAGAGAGATCAGAGAGAGACCAGAGAGAGACCAGAGAGAGACCAGAGAGACCAGAGAGAGACCAGAGAGAAATCAGAGAGAGACCAGAGAGAGACCAGAGAGAGACCAGAGAGACCAGAGAGAGACCAGAGAGAAATCAGAGAGAGACCAGAGAGAGAGACCAGAGAGAGACCAGAGAGAGAGACAAGAGAGAAACCAGAGAGAGACCAGAGAGAAACCAGAGAGAGACCAGAGAGAGACCAGAGAGAGACCAGAGAGACCAGAGAGAGACCAGAGAGAAATCAGAGAGAGACCAGAGAGAGAGAGACCAGAGAGAGACCAGAGAGAGAGACCAGAGAGAAATCAGAGAGAGACCAGAGAGAGACCAGAGAGAGACCAGAAAGAGAGACCAGAGAGAAACCAGAGAGAGACCAGAGAGAAATCAGAGAGACCAGAGAGAGACCAGAGAGAGACCAGAGAGAGACCAGAGAGAGATCAGAGAGAGATCAGAGAGACCAGAGAGAGATCAGAGAGAGACCAGAGAGAAATCAGAGAGAGACCAGAGAGAGACCAGAGAGAGATCAGAGACCCCAGAGAGAGACCAGAGAGAGACCAGAGAGAAATCAGAGAGAGACCAGAGAGAGACCAGAGAGATCAGAGAGAGACCAGAGAGAAATCAAAGAGAGACCAGAGAGAGACCAGAGAGAGACCAGAGAGAGAGACCAGAGAGAAACCAGAGAGAGATCAGAGTGAGACCAGAGAGAAATCAGAGAGAGACCAGAGAAAGACCAGAGAGAGAGACCAGAGAGAGACCAGAGAGAGATCAGAGAGACCAGAGAGAGATCAGAGAGAGATCAGAGACACCAGAGAGAAACCAGAGAGACCAGAGAGAAACCAGAGAGAAATCAGAGAGACCAGAGAGAGACCAGAGAGAGACCAGAGAGAGATCAGAGAGAGATCAGAGAGAGACCAGAGAGAGACCAGAGAGAGATCAGAGAGACCAGAGAGAGACCAGAGAGATCAGAGAGACCAGAGAGAGATCAGAGAGAGATCAGAGAGAGACCAGAGAGAAATCAGAGAGAGACCAGAGAGAGACCAGAGAGAGACCAGAGAGAAATCAGAGAGAGACCAGAGAGAGACCAGAGAGAGACCAGAGAGATCAGAGAGACCAGAGAGAGACCAGAGAGAAATCAGAGAGAGACCAGAGAGAGACCAGAGAGAGAGACCAGAGAGAAACCAGAGAGAGACCAGAGAGAAATCAGAGAGAGACCAGAGAGAGACCAGAGAGAGAGACCAGAGAGAAACCAGAGAGAGACCAGAGAGACCAGAGAGAGACCAGAGAGAGACCAGAGAGAGACCAGAGAGAGACCAGAGAGAGAGACCAGAGAGAAATCAGAGAGAGACCAGAGAGAGACCAGAGAGAGACCAGAGAGAGAGACCAGAGAGAAACCAGAGAGAGACCAGAGAGAAATCAGAGAGAGACCAGAGAGAAATCAGAGAGAGACCAGAGAGAGACCAGAGAGAAATCAGAGAGACCAGAGAGAGACCAGAGAGAGACCAGAGAGAGATCAGAGAGAGATCAGTGAGACCAGAGAGAGATCAGAGAGAGACCAGAGAGAAATCAGAGACACCAGAGAGAGACCAGAGAGAGACCAGAGAGAAATCAGAGAGAGACCAGAGAGAGACCAGAGAGATCAGAGAGACCAGAGAGAGATCAGAGAGAGACCAGAGAGAAATCAGAGAGAGACCAGAGAGAGACCAGAGAGAGACCAGAGAGAGAGACCAGAGAGAAACCCAGAGAGAGACCAGAGAGACCAGAGAGAAACCAGAGAGAGACTAGAGAGAAACCAGAAAGAAATCAGAGAGAGAGCAGATAGAGTGCTCAGAGAGAGAAAGACCAGAGAGACCAGAGAGAGACCAGAACAGAGAGACCAGAGAAACCCGAGTGGTTATTGCAAGTGGGCAGAGAGCAGAGAGGGCAGAGGGGAGAGTCTTACAGCCTGAGGATAGAACCTGTTGGACGGTCTTGATGTTTGGGGCCTGATATGGACCTGTACCATCAGCCTGAGGGCACCAGGTGGAATAGGTCTGTCAGACTGACCACATCTGGTAACAACAGCTGATCAGAGACACATCACACCATCACCAAACATTCAAACAGTACTTTAGTAGCAATAAAGTAGGTTCTAGCTTCTTACCTTAGCATCTTATCCAAAGAACCTTAAAGACCTCAGACATAAAGAACACATCATGAACTTCTTACATTCATTGACCTTCACTATTGCTATAATAATAATAATAATGCTTTTTATTGCACACTTTAGATAAGTATTTGTGATAAGGGCTTGTCATAAAGTATATAATAATATAGCGGTATTTAAGTGTTTGTCTTGAAAAATGCTATAATTGAAGAACAGATATCTCTGGTTTGAAAATGTGTCAAAATGTCGTATACCCACGAACATCTTTTGTTATCGGCAGCACATTTAGAAGGATTTGCTCAAGAAGGTGTGAAACTTTATATGTGTGGCACTAAAATAGATCTGGATTTTCCACTTCTTGGTATAAGGCAATATTTAAAGCCTTCCAAAACCTTTTTTATATAATGGCACCAATAAACTATTTAATTTTAGATGTGTTTATGGTCCACAAACGAAACCACGGACACAGTTATTGTTGGTGACTTTATCTGTTCCGCAGCACTCATCGGTTTTTTAAATATCTCTGGTAAAAGAACATTCCGTCCACTTTAATTCTATATAATTATATGGTTTGTGAAACTGGTTATGCACCAAAGCAATAACAACATTCAAAACCTGGATTCCTCCACAAATTGGCTGGGTTCTCCCTTAGAAATAGGCTGAGGAGCTCGAAGTAGACCCGCTTCTCCTTGTCGAGAGGAGCCAGTGGAAGTGGCTCGGGCATCTGTTTGGGAAGCCTCCTGGACGCCTTTCCAGGGGGTTGTTCTGGGCATGACCCACCAGGAAAAGACCAGGGGAAGAGAGAGACCAGGGAGAGACAGAGACCACAGAGAGCGAGAGAGAGACAAGAAAGAGAGAGACCAAAGAGACAGACCAGAAAGAGACCAGAGAGAGAGAGCCGAGAAAGAGAGACCACAGACCAGAGACAGACCAGTGGGAGAGAGAACAGAGACTGGATAAAACAGAAGAAAAATCTCCATTATCGTAAACGATGCCAGGTCTGACCGCGGTGACTCCGTCCTCTCGTTATAGATGCACTTATGCTGTTTCCTGTCGTGTGCAGTAGTTACAGGAGATTCTCTGTGTAACTGGAAAAGACTTTAATGTCTTCCCCTCATCGTTAAAACAGAGATATTCCACGTCCAAACATTATATATTTATATATATATATATATAAATATATATATGGTTGGATTTATGTAAATGTAGACAAAGCAGAAGACTAATTCTACCAAAGTGCACTGTCAAATATTTGAGTGTTTTTGCCAGAACCAGGAAGTTACTGAGAGGATCCTATTCCCGATCTATGTTTTTAAACTGTTTTATAATCACCATGGCAACAGTCCAAAATCCTCAATATCATCATTATGTATTATTAATCTACAGTTCATAGGAGAAAAATATACAGTATTTTGAAGATAGAAAAAGGGGAGAGAGAGAGAGACCAGAGAGTGACCAATGAGAGAGAGAGAACAGAGAGAGACATGAGAGACCAGAAAGAGAGACCAGAGAGGGAGACCAGTAAGAGACCAGTAAGAGACCAGAGAGAGACCATCATTCGCGGGCCCCGATCTGGCCCCCGGGCTTTGACTTTGACACCCTGGGCCTTAGATCCTCCAGTGTCTGCAAGAATGACTCAAAAACAAAAAAAAACAAAAAACCTGGTGAAAAGTGAGAAACCTTGGGAGGCCCACATTGAGAGAGGTTCGGAGTTTGCATGCACAGGACACATTTCCATACTTAAATACTGAATTATAGCCACTGCCCTAGTTTAAACTTCCCGTGATCCACTTCTGTGAACTTTGGTACATCCATGTTCTGGAGAGGGGACTGTGCCCTTCACTTGCCCCAAAGCGCGGTTGAAAAACAGCTTTGACTGTCACTAAAGCCCCGTTCTAAAGGATGGAAGATGCTGTTTTCTCTGCAGCCCGTTCACATTCTTTGCATGATAATAGCCTGTTGTCTAGGAGGAGGAAGCACAGGAGGAGG